AATTCTTCCTACTCTCACTTTGAATTGCCCCGCGTCATCCTACATAGCTCATTGTGTGAACAAGCACAATGAACCACGTTAATCATGACCACAAATGACTTCTTCTTTTTTTACAAAAATCCGGAAATTTTGTAAGAAAGATTATAAACAAAGTTTGTTAACAAGATTGTAAAATAAAACATGATGTCTTTTTTGGTGTGGGTTGACATGGCTCATTGTATGCGTTAGCATAGTGACCAATGTAAGAGTGTCATGGTGATTTGACAATGGTAATGGATGAAATTTATAACAAGTGTCGGTTTTGTTCTGAGGTTAAACAGTTGGGCTATTTTATTACGTTTGAAAGGTTATGTTATTTTAGTCGCGGATGCCGAAGGTTAGGCTTTATAGACGTTTGAAAGGTTTTGCTACTTTTGTCCCAAGTACAAAGGGTTGGGCTTATTTCCGGGATTTGGCCAAACTTTAGCTATCAATTTTTGAAATTGAAAAAAGTTACACACCACACAAAGAAATCTTGAAGATAGATAGGGATCTTGATATTTTGAGTGGGAAGTTTATGGAGGAAATCACTAATGTGAGTAGGTTACTTCTGTTGAAGATTTCTTCCTTCTTTTTTTATAGTTACTCTTCTCTTGGATTCCTTTTAGGTGTTGAGATCTAATTCCTTCCCAAATTATTATGTTGTTTACCTATGAGTATCCATGAAATCTTGTACTACATTGTGAAGTACAACAACAAAATTTTCTGGTTCGGAGAAAGTGACATGTGAAAATCCATGAACTTTCTGTATTACTTCTTGACTTCTTCCGCATAATTAATTTTTTTTTTTGTGAAAGCGTACTACACATTTGGTTTTCAGGAATAACTTCTATTTCCAATCTATTCTGATGAAGCGATCATTCCTTCATTTGGTTCAAAAATAGATTTGAAATTACTATTCTCTCACAATCAGGAATAGTTGTTCCTGGGGGGCCAAGGAAAAGCTATTCCATCTAGGTTTGTAGCCAAGAATAGCTTCAATTTTCACATTTCAAAAATGCTTTGCACTTTCAACAATTAATTTTTTTGATTATATTTATCATACTTGAGCAACAATTATTATATTTATCATACTTGAGCAACTCAGTTGCTGATGATTATGATTATATCAAATTGTAATCTATAGTTAAACTACATTTTATAATAAAATAATAATTTGTAGAGAATATTAATATAACTAATAAGTTATTTATGATAATGAATGTATCAAATGTAATCTATTGTTTAACTAAAATTTATGATAAAATAATAATTTGTAGAGAATATTAATATAACTAATATTATTATCATAGTTATTTATAATTATAAAATAATTAGTTAACAATATTTCAAGTTACTATTAGTAAAATAATAAGTACATAATATATTAATATAACTTCTATCACAATATTCAGTTCCTTGCAATTAGTTATTACTCTGTTGGAAAATAAGAGTATATATTTTTTTAATTAATGGCGTGAGTAGCACAATCAAGTAATATTCACGAAATTAATATGAAAATTAGACAAAGAGAAAGAAATATATATTTGAATTAGAATTGATCAAATCAAGATTTTGGTTTTGCACATTGCAATTTGATCAAATTTCGCGCACTGCACGCATGTCCCAACTAGTATGGTAATGAAGCTACAGTACCAGAAAGAAGAAGATTACAACTTGTAAAGTTTTTACTCTATATGAGCCATTACGTCATAATTCTTTTTAAGACCCGAATGCTAATGGCCAAATTTATAGTGGAAGTTGACATCCTTCACTTTGTTGGCCTTTATAAATATTGTTTATTGGCGTAAAGAATTGATGTCTTCACATTCCTAGTCTCTTGAACTCATTAATGCACTTCAGTAGCAATATGAACAAATAATATTTAGATTACTTTTAACGGGATATAGCATTAATGGACGTCGATTCTTGCTTATAGGGAACAGACAAGATTGAGGCGATTATTCTGAGTAAAGGCAGCTTAGAAGGCTCCGACAAAATGGCTAAGCGAGATGGCAACATTTACGCAGCAAAACAATTCAAGAATTTGACAAATCTAAGATTCCTTCATATCGAAGAGGCACATATCAGTGGAGATTTTAAGGACTCAATTAAGGAGTTAAAATGGCTCCAATGTCGATATTGTTTCACGAATTTTGAAATAAAAAATTTTCATGTAACGAAATTAGCTGTGCTCGAATTGCAACACTGCGGGATGAATGAGAAATGGAAAGGATGGAGTGTTTTCATGGTAAGAACGGGTCTTCTTTTTTTTTCTTCTTTTTATGCTTTTTTTTTAATCATAATCACTCTAGACTGATCCCTTGACAAACATTATTATTTTTATTTTACTAGATGGCAGAGAGGCTCAAGTATCTCAGCTTCACGGATTGTAGATTCTTGCAAAATACGATCTTCCTCTCCGCTTTTAAGCATTTGGAGGTTTTCATCCTCCGAGGTTGTTCGGGACTGAAGCAGATCGATCCTTCAATTGGAGACATGAAGGCCCTCCTTTGTTTGGATTTGAAGGGGTGTGGGTCCCTTAGAAAGCTTCCAACAGAAATAGAGTCTCTGGAGAATCTAGAGATTCTGGATATTTCTGGAACCAGTATAGAAGAATTACCCAAGGGTATTGGGAGGCTGAGAAAGCTTCGAGAGTTAAGCGCTTCGCGTTGCTTGAGTCTGAAAGGGGAATTGCCGGAGAGAATGTGCAATCTTTCTTCCCTACAACGCCTTGAGGTTCTCTACTGCTACAAGCTCCAATCGTTGCCGAACGACCTTCCTTCCAGCTTAACAGATTTGACCGTCACCTGTGGAAGCTGCAAATTGCCCTCACTTTCCCACCTAACCCATCTCAAGCGACTAGAAGTTGCTGGCTGCAAAGTTCTGGAGTGCATCGAAGTGCTTCCATCAACACTATCGAAGAATTCAGAATGCTCTCAACCGACAGACATTGAAGAATCAGAATTACCACAATCCCTAAACACTCCCTTCGAGTTGGAAATCTTGCACGTTTGGAGCTGTCGATCTCTTAAAACAGTAGACGTTTCACAGTTTATCCATCTAAGGACATTAAAGGTCGGTGGTTGCGAGAATCTAGTTGAAGTTCGAGGTCTTAAACTTGACAAATTTATATATTTGGAAAGCTTGACTGTCTCAATGTGCGATTCAATTGAGAGGCTGCTCCTTCCAAAATCCAAGAGCCTGAAGAAATTAGTTGCTCGAAGGTGCAAGAAATTAGCCGAAATTCAAGGCCTCGATAGGTTGGAGTTTTTGGAAATCCTGGATGTCTCTAGCAGCGATTCAATTAAAAGGCTAGACATTCCAAAATCCGGGAGGCTGAAGATATTAGACGCTGATGCATGCAAAAACTTAGCCGAAATTCAGGGCCTCGATAGGTTGGAGTTTTTGGAAGAATTGAGGATCGGTGGATGTGAGTCACTCAAAACAATTCCAGAATTATCTGGAGTGCGGATTTATCGAAATTAAGAGCAAAAGGCAATTGGATATCCATTTCGGTGAGCCGTGTGAGTAATACACTGGAAATGGTCCACATTTTCTAACTAAGGGTACATAAAGTAGGTATGTTACCTTTGCTTTTTTGAGATCTACCGCCCAATTTTCATTTGTATTTCCTGGTTGATAGTGTCATGATTGTATCCTTACTTGGATTCAAGGTATTCGAGGGAGATGTTCATGGAAGTCAATGTGTGCTTTGGCAATATGATTCTGCTTATCATGCCAGCAACAGAAATAGAAGAAAAGGCTTTCTAAGTGCATCATTTGTGATTAGTCTTCGGGTAGGATCCTTCATCCTATGCAGAAAAATAAAGATTCTCGACGTTTGATTGATTCTGGAATGTTGGAGGTACTGAATAAAAACTGATGTATACAGGTATCTGATAGCATGCCAAAGGTTATCGTATAGGCCGAGAAATGCTAAATGAAGGACCCTATATGGCGGTCCTTCTAATGTGAGGTTTTAGTTTGCTCTGCACTCATCATGCAGTTCGTGACTGCATGTTTCTAAGGTACCCTTACGAGTGAATTTACGGTGCAAAAGGAGCATGTTGACAGGGCATCCGTTAGTATGCATACGCTACTGACTTGGGATAAAATTTGTCCAACCATTATGTTCCACCCATTTTACGCTTGCATTGTCTCTGAATCAAATCTGCCTGCAAACTGCATAAGGACAGAAATGAAACAGACATCATTCTTCCAAAGAATGCATCTTGATGTTTATAGAGTTGGTAAAACCATCTGTCATATGCCTGAACTTTTGAGCCAAGCAAGACATTAACTAGAATGTCTTTTGACATAATCAACTGTACTGTGAAATAATCCCTTACATTGTGCATAAGCTCTTGTTAATGCATTGACTAGTTGAAAATAAAAACAGAGGAAGCAATTCCATAAGTTTCCTGACGAAACTTTTCGGTATCCTACATGCCATTTGAAACTGTGTTGCATTAATTCTAATGCATGAATAGCACATAATGATGAGGAAAAGAATCATATACCATGTCCCACAAAAAGCAAGCAACATGAGTTGAATTCACTATGTTAATTTGATCAAGACTTCTGTGGTTGATGATGTTAGATGTCCCATTAGTTGGATCCAAAGAGTTCAAAAAGAATATCGAGTTTGACAAACAGAGATCCGTAAACTTCGGAGTATTATTACTAGTTCGTTGATCTTAGTTGCTGAATTGATTCCATCTGTCTCACTGGCAAGATTCACTTATCATTCCATAGCATGATGTAAATGCTGAAATATCCAAGAGAGCTTTTGCAAGGCATTTCTAAAAGGAATTGAAATCATAAAAGGATCAGGAGCTCGATGTTCCAGGAACTTCACCAAACCCTGACAATGCATCCTTGGAGTGGTAATGGTTGTTAGCATGTTGTGATCCCACCCTCATTATATTTGGCAGAAGCTTTGCGGAGCTGTCAACCTCCATTCCCATAATCAAGTCTGTCTTTCTGTCTGTCTGTCTCTCTGTCTCTCTGTCTCTCTCTCTCTTATTTTCTCTCCCACCTGTTCCTCTCCTACAATTTTCTCCGCATACTCTTGGAGTCGCTGGCTTCTCAGGTTCGGCTCCCGTTCGTCGTTCTTTTGCGACCTAATGGGCGGTCGACTCGATTCTTCCGATTCAGATTTGTGAAGTTTACTCGATTTCCAATTGGCAGGTGAAGATGGCGGAGTGACATCCGGAGAAGGATTTGCTGGCGATGGTTACAGAGGACTTGAAGGTGGTGCTTCATCGCTTCAATTGGCAGAGGCTGTGGACAGTCTCTCTTGGTAATTGCTTTGACTAGAGAAAGTTCTCTTTTTTATTCAATGTGTTCGTTTCCTCAACGATGGCTTGGTGTGCCCTTTGAGTCATTGACCTTATCTCGTTTTACTTCTTTCGCTTTTCCTAAATATGCTGCGCTCCCTTTTCGCAAGAGGAACCACTGTAATTGCCAATCTAGCTTGATTTGCGTTCGATGGCGGACAAATATAGAGGTGAATTGCTTGAAAGTCTAATTGAGAACATGATGTCGAACTAAGGAGTTGGTGTTTTACAGAAAAACCAAGAGTGAATGAAGGTGATACAAGTGGAAATCTAGAGATGACTTAGTTGCACTAGGATTAATGCTGTTGAAGTTTTAGGTGAAACTTCTGTTCTAGTTTATGTAGTGGTGATTGTACTTGATATTACGATTATGTTAGGTTGTTTATGTGCACTAATATTTGTTTCAGTGGTATCTAACTTTGTTTGGCCATAAGGAAAGTAAAACTCATATTAACTCGGGATATTATCATCATCCTTAAAAAGAAATGGACAGTTAACATGGAGCAATTTTGATGCAATTTTCTTAAAAATAGCTTTAAACTTTACATGATGGAAGAACTTTCCTGCTGATGATTTTAAATGCTTAAGTTGACTTTTGAGACTCATTATAAGCTGAACATGATGATGCCTCATACTTCGAAGCCTGAATTATGTTATTCATGCTTCAGATTTCTACCCAACCTGTAAGTATCATACTATATTTCAGTAAAAACCTCTAGAAATCTATGAAGCTCAGATGTTGAAAGTTGTGAGGCAAATTTGTTGCAAAATTTTAAGCATTGTCACGTGATTCGCACGTCATTTTTGTTCTCAACTGTCTAAGGCCTGCTTAGTTTTAGAGAACGCGTTTAGTTTCCGTTTTCATAGAAACTGCTTTCAAAGTATTTTGACAAAATATTTGTTTAGTGAAAATAATATATGTTATTAGGGATGAAAATTGTGAGAATATGCTCAGGTTACATCACTTTCAAAAAACAGGCTCAGTTATTCCAAATCTCCTTGTTTGCATGTGGGATGAGAATACTAACAAGTCATCTTCAGTTTGTGATTTTGATATTGAGAATAGTTTTCCTTTTATGCATCAACTGCTTTCCGAGTATTACCAAACGCATTTTCTGTTCTGTTTTAATTCTTAAATCGAAATCAGAACAGACTTTTGAGAATCTTTATCAGCTGAGTGCCTCCTTAGATAATCAATCTCTTTTTGTCTGCAGAAGAAAAGAACTTCATCAAGTTGCTCAATAGGCTTTGAACATTGAAGATTTACTTCATGTCATCCTGACATCATTATCAGTCATGGATAAGCAGTGGGCTGATGCCATCAACATATTACATGAGAAGTTTGATTTGCTGTCAAACCTTATTAGTGAGTGGTATTGTTAATACAGAGCGGCAGATGACATTTCGTTTTTCTTCATTTTACCGTTTTCGTTTGCTTATCTAGGTCTTGACTCTTCTCCTCAGGAGGAATTTTTGAGTCTTCTCGGAGGTGCTGGGACCAGTCTTGCAGTCCATCAGTTTCTTGTTAATTCACTGGGTGAAGTGGTATGGCCGGTTTTTTAAGCTCCACTGCTGCTATGGGACTTTGGTTTTTTTTGGGTTGGTTTTTATAATCTTAGTCTGCTAGTTTGTTCAGTGATAGGGTATTAAGGGTGTATCAAAAGTTGTTTGTGGTGCTGGAAAAGAACTACAGCCGGTTGTCCTCAATCATCTGCTGGTGCACGTTATTATCTTTGCCTTTGGCCTTTTCCCCTAATTAATAATTAAGTTTGACGCATCTCAGAGAACAGTCATGGAGGTGATTAGATAGAGATAGGAATTTGTTACAATAAGTTATGCTTCGCACATCTTGAGACATGCCATATTTTTAAGAACATCCTGCTGTTGATTCTTCATACGAACATATTATATGCAATGATATGAATTACCAACATAAGTGGCTGGAAAGGGTGAAGTAAAATCTGATTTGAGTCTGATTCAACAAGTTGGCAATCTCTCCTATAAGTGTATAATGGAAATTGTAGGTCATTAATCATTGGTTTGAACTTGATCTAAGTTTGGGCTTTAAGAGTACCGTACATGGAGATTTGGATATAGAATGTTTATACATTCACATTATAATTAGCAGGTGTAGAGATATATCTCAGTTTAAAAGGAAAGAGTTTATTGCCTGCTTCGATCTTAGCATACGTCCCCTCATAATTGCGAGAGTCAATTTTGTACCAAAGAATCATATTCAACTATTTTTACCTACCGATATTACTGTTGAGCCTAGGAGAAGTTAGACTTATTTATACTACCAAATTCCACTCATTGAACTCAATGTAGTAAGTGAAACTCTTCTTTCCTGTTTTAAGTTTATTGTCAACAAGCTAAGGATGAGAATGAAAACTCAATTAACCGAAGAAAATGAACAGAAAACTAACTGGTGGTTGCTCGGATGACAGTGAATCGATCCTACATGGATCTAATCTGTGATGCTTGACCATGGTTATGGGAGCCTCTGTTCACAATCATTTGTTTCGTGCTTAGATGTGAGAATTGATTGTTTTATTTTATTATTTTTCATCATATCTTTACATCACGACTTTTGATATAACACCTCTTTTTTGGCAAAATAATGCTGAGGATGTTAAGTTCTAGTATTGAAATTGGTTTACTAAGTCGCATGCCAGATAGATTCGTGTTAGGTGTTTGTGACCTCCTTACGTATTAAACTCGCATTTACCTCTTCAAATCAGTTTTGTATACTACTCTTAGTCCCTTGTATTGCTCTGTTTTTGGTAGTGTGTTGGTAGCCCAAGATAACATGGTGCAAGCATAGGAAACTGTCCAAACCATTCTTTTCCAAGAACAGTGAAGGAGGAGATGCCGCACGGACTCTGTCTCCTTTTGCTCTGGAAACACCTGATAACCAGTTTTTACCTTATTTCTAAAGTAAGGATTTGTTCCCTGGTTGCTTTCCAAGCAGAAAGCGAAACTCTAATTGGAATCCTCACTTTCCAAATCGCTTTTTGAGGAAAATCTGTTCTACCACGAATCTCCCTATTGAGCAGCTTGTAAGACTTTACAGAAAAAATTCCATCTCTTCCGTTGTTCCACACAAAAATCATCTATAAAAGCAACAGAAATCTTTGAATTATGCACGACATAAAAGAAGGCAGGCAAAAGCTTCCAACTCCTAATCTTGGGCTTGGCTCACGAACACAATATCCCATATGATCATTTTGTTGTTTAAACGATAACAATCTGCTACCAAAGCTTCCTTGTTCCTTGACATTTCACCCAAATGCTTACACATAGAACACCAATCTGTGAGAATCAATTTCCATTTCTCGGGAGTGTAAGTTTTGTAATAAATGTGCACCAAACTAGAATAAGATTCTTACAATTGAGAATCTCAGGAAACGTAATTGATTTTTCATAGAATGGTGTTGTGTGTGAAAGCATTTGGGGGAAAATGTTGATCATCTCTTTCTTCTTTTTGACTTCGCTCCCAAGCTTTTGCATCAAATCTTCGGCTTGTCTAAGGTAAATTGGTTCTTGCCAAAACATGCCATCCAGTTTTTTAGTTGTTGGAATGCCTAATTAGGAGGATTCTAAGAAGTCCTAAAGTGCCGCACCTTTGTCTCATGTGGGGCCTTAGGAAAAAAAGCAACAAAATGTAGGGTTTGGAATCTTTGGTTGCTTCTACGTTGTACCTTTTAACCGACTTTGAGCATCATGTTCTGATTCTGTATACTCTTCTAATGCTTCATTTTTGTTTGTTTTTCTTTTGTTTTGTTTTGATATATACCGATGTACTGGAACTTTTTCTTTCAACAAAATCCTTTATTGTCTAGAGAAAATATATTGCCAGTTTATTCCCCTGCCAGATCTCTCTCCATGCATGTGGGCATTTTTGTATGTTGTGAACATGTGCTTCGGCGTGCACATGCATGCGATCATGTGCTTGCACAGGTGTGCACACATATACATGCACACTATAGGGCTGTTGTTAATTAGATTAGATTCTGCGCTTCTCCTGGGTACAATGACTCTCATGTACGCGCTACACATTCTTGTTGATTACTACTATAGTGAGAAGTGATGTTTCTAGTTATATTCTTTAAGGTTATAGACTCTCCTGTTTTCTTTTTTGATAAGTAAGTCTATTAAAGAGGCAACAAGAGCACCAGGGGGATGCCTCTTACTTACAAATTACTACCTATAAGTTCATATTTACCTTAAAAATTAAAGAAAGACTTGGTGTCCAAATAACTGCCACCACAATGTGAAAAAAATAAGGTGGAAAGCCAAAGATCCTTTACAGCACCTATAGAACTTTGCTCATTTTTGAAAGCCTGCCTATTTCTTTCTTACCAGGGCTTATGAACTCTTTTTAACTACATGGTACTGCCGATCGATGCTTTTGGGCTCCTTTCTCCTTTTGTCGATTCAAAATGTGCATTCACAACGGTGTAGAACTTTGTGGAACAATTGCCAAGAGATAAAAAGATTTAAGCTATGAAATAAAGATGTGGTTTACTATTTAAACGTCATAATACTCCGCCTCTCTTGTACGCTAGGACTTCGCCTTCGATTGAAGTGTAAAATTTGATAATTGGGGAGGTAAATAGGTAACAGGGACAGTTTTGAATGGAGTACCTCCTACTCTAGTTCCATGTGGAATTTTATGGGACTAGTTGTCACGCCCCGTAACCCACGAAGCGTGAGCATCTCACCTTCGGTCGATAAATTGCGACGTCCCAGGAAGCGTCGCCGACCCATGCCCATACAGACATCAAGCACAAGCGGAAGTATAAAATAAACAAACCCAGACAATTACAATATGAGCCAAGGATAGCCATCCAATAAACAACGATCAACGCAGAAAATATGTACATACTTATATTACTATTTTAAAACTCTTTTTACAGTGTTCACGACAACCAAAAAGGAAACACCAACAGCTGGGAATAACCCAAACAGCCACTTCTCCGTTCTGCTCCATCCCCACCGGGGCGCATGCTCGACGACTGCTGAATAAAAGGCGGTATTCCCAAAAAGAGGTGGTGACCTCGGCATCCTACTGCTGGGGGTCTGAAAAGTTTCAGTTTACACAACCGTGAGACGAATCTCAGTGAGTTCAACCCCTAAACCTAGGCTAGGCTAGCATGCAATCTCCTGACTGGAAACAATTATTCAAATCACAATACCACAATAGTCAAACAATTATCTGACCCTGCAAATTAGGCAGATCCACATATAATAGTCACGGCACATGCGTGGCATGCATAATCACACGTATGTCAATCACATGCTCACACACCGAGTCTCACACACTTGCATGCCAATCAATGCATGCTTATGCATGCAAGTGTCATTGACATGTCATGCACATTTCTTTAGCACACTTGCCCACACTGGCACACTTGCCCAAATTAATTATTATTACGACTCGAGTCATCAATTTTTCATGGCCCGGTGCGTCTAGCCTGCTTCAAAGTGCATGAGGCACAGCAACCGATCTGGCCCAGTGTCTCTAGCCTGCTTCAAAGTGCATGAGGCGCATCACTGTTCTCCTTGCGAACCAGAGCCTACTTCAAAGTGCATGAGGATGGTCGCCTTCCGGACGTACCGGGCATCGTCCTGCTTCAAAGTGCATGAGGACGGTATCGACCCGAAGGTCCTTAGGTGATCACACAGCTCATTATTATCTGAACCCAGCGTATAACGCTTCAGGGTATTTTAGGTGATCACATGCTCGTGGCAGACACGCATTCTCGCACAATTTCATCACATGCCTCACTCTTGGCATACGCAATGCGTGTCCATGTTATGCAATGCAATGAACCACGAGCACCAATATAATTCAGACACCCAATGTCACAACACGTGCTTAATTGGCCCAATTAATACCGTGTGGCCTAACGTACGATTCACAAGTTAGTAATTCATTGCAAACCAAACAATGGCCAATCACACTCCACAAAATTAGCCACACCACATACGACATAACAGTACAAAATCAACCACAATTAAGCACAATTGACGTACAATCAGTCAACCCGGGCATACCCGGCAATTTCACCGACGAACTCCTAAATTGGTCATTAAACCCCATTATCCTCCCCAACGATTCTCATTAATCCACTAAATTTTTCCGATAATAATTTCTACCAATCAATTCTCAACCCAGTCTCAATTACACACTACTATTATCTAAGCCAGTCCAAAATGCACCAATAATACCAAAACCAGTCCAGGAAAAACGCACTATCAGTCCTAATCCGGGTTTAGGAATTTTACTCACCAAAACAAGGGTCACGACAACGGGGAACGGCGGCCGATCACTGATGAACAGTGAAACCGGCGGCGGAATTCCCGGCGGACGGCGGCGCGGTGTACGGACGGGGGGGAACAGTACCACCCCCGTACGGACACTTGTACGGACGGATGGGAACGGTGGCCGGCGAGGTGCCGGTCACGGCGGCGACGGCCGTACGGTCTGGATGAACAGTGACCGTACGGACGTGAACAGTGACCGTACGGTCGCTGTACGGACGGGCTGAACGGCGACGTATGGACGTGCTGGAGGCCTGGGTGTCGACGGAACGGCGATCGGAGCTCCGGCGAAGCTCCGGCGGTACTGTTTGTAAAACAGAAAAATGAGAAAAAGAGGGAAAAAGGAGAGAGATAGAGCTGTTTTTGGAGTATAACCGGGGCTGATGGTGGCTGCTCTTGGGTGAAAATAGCTGCTGGTGGTGCTGGCTCGATGGGGGCAGCTCCGGCTGGTACTGTTCCGGCGTGAACAGTACCAGAACTTGCAGAACCGTACACGCCAGAACCAGAAACGGAAGAAAAGGGAGAAGAATTTGGGGGAAATGGGGAAGCTCTCGGCAGAACAGAAAAATGAGAGAGAGAGAGAGAGAGAGAAGACTATCTGGTCAAATGGGTCAAAGACGGTCTTAGTGGAGTCCAAGTGTCATTATCTGAGCCCATTTGACAATTTTACCCTTGATCCAATGGACTAGATTTGATCAAATCCAATAATTTAGGGGTAAAATGGTCTTTTGTCCCCAACCATGGTTGACCAGACCTGGTTTAACCTTAACTCACCTTGGTTAATCCCAAAATTAAATCCAATTTTCGGAATTAATAAAAGATGGCCTAGGGGCATTTTCGTAATTTTCCGATCCCGAACCGAAATTCCAATTTTCGCACATACGCGTTCCATATATGCGTGGCCAACTTAATATGACGTCGAAATCGCGAAATTCATCGCGCAAGCCCTCGAAAACCCACGTCAAAGTTTCGGAAATAAAATAATATTATTTTTTCAATTTTCGTCGAAATTCCAATTTTTGGCCAAAACGACTCCTGGTATGCGTGGCCACTCAAAAATGGCGTCGGCCACGAAAAATAACCTCAAATGGCCTCCGAATCCAGCCTCGGTGCCCACAGGGGCAAAATCGTAATTTTTTCACCCCTGATCCGAAATTCCACTTTTTCCTCATACTAACTCCAAACGTGTGTGGCCAGCGTAATACGACGTCAGATTCCCAAAAATAGTCTCTTAAGCCTTTGAAAATCGATACCGAAATCCGAGCCCAATTCCGTGAACAAAACCCGCTAAACTTTCAATTTCAGAGTCTCTCACTAACGGGTGGCTGTTTAGAGGTTACGCGTATTGACCTAAGGCTATTCGTATCGTGATGGTCTGGATCAATGAGAGAATGAGAAATTATCATTAGTTCCAGAGGTCACAATCATTAGGTTCAAGTTCCGGACTGGTTGACCACGTGCACTTTTGGTCTTGCAGAATCACCTGCGTCCCAATTGTACATCGTTGGCCTTGGCCAAACCCAATCCATTACTCTTTCCTAAGATCGGCCCACATTGGCCCAAAATATTTCCTCAACGTCTCTCGTGATCGGTATCCCTTTCGCGATAGGTTCCCCGGTCCACGTACCATCTTCTAGTTAGTCATACCCTATTGGTTAGTATCTCGAGAGTGATCAGCTCTGGGTGAGACTTACTAAAATGAAATGCGAAATAATATCAGTTTCATTGATCCCGGAAATTACATCGAAATTCGGGCTGTTACACTAGTGCTAAGTGATCAAAAAGCATAAGTTGTTGGATAGAGATGTGGTTCTATATTTGAATGTAGTAAAGAAATTACCCTTCCCACCAGAAGGGCTAGGGCTTTGTCTCCTTGAAAACACTGGCAATTCCTGTCAATATTGTGCTTATGCCCACAATTATCACATAAATGGCCTCTCTCTCTCTCTCTCTCTCTCTCTCTCTCTCTCTCTCTCTCTCTCTCTCTCTCTCTCTCTCTCTCTCTCTCTCTCTCTCTCTCTCTCTCTCTCTCTCTCTCTCTCTCTCTCTTACAGCGACTTTTGGGGCAGGACTTGATAATTTCACATGAACATTCCTAACTTCTATCCTTCTTGCATGAATTGGATAGCAGACTAGGCTCCATTTCTTGAATGAATTTTCCAGTATAACTTTATTTGTCAGAGACTCTAGAGTACGTTGTTTAGTTCAAACACAGTTTGCAGAAGATGAAGATGGCTTGTAATGACCATTTACTATGTAAAACATTTTCTTTCGTAAACTTTTAACTTCGATGGTTCCAGCATGTAACTTATGTGTTCAATGCTATTTTTATCCCTTACAAGTGTGTGTCAATTTCCTTAATAAGAGATGATATTTGACTTATGGGGTTAAGTAATTGTAGTATTGTTATTTACTTAGTAGCCTGTTGTAGAAATTATTGGCTTTAGAATGGGTGAGCTCAAGGGTCTTTCAAGATGGCATTTTCATTATCTAAGTATTGGTTTGGATGAGACACTGGTGGATAATGAAGTAGAAAAGGCTGGAATGCTGCTTGTACAGGTTGAGGGATTCATGAGGGTGCTCTCATCTGTTGTGCAGCCGGTATGCCTGTTAAAATCTTTCTTATGATTTATCTACCTTTCTTGATATCTTCTATTGGCGACTATTGTCATATCTTGCCCGTCTCTCATCACGTATGGTATCATGTCTTTAGTGACACTAAATTCCTAAATTTTAGACATGAAGTTGAACTATTCGTGGATAAGACACGATATTGGGTGCTTAGAATAACATATAAACGTAAGTCAAATAGCATTTAATTAGTTGAAAAACGTGCTTCTTATCGACATTGTAAAGGAGTCATTGTTAGACTGTGGGCCTTTACACATGACTTAAATCTGTTCAACAAGGTCCCTTATCGACATTGTAAAGGAGTCATTGTTAGACGGTAGGCCTTTACACATGACTTAAATCTGTTCAACAAGGTCCCTTTAGTTCCTGTTAAGGTCGTTACGGAATACTCGCCTTTTCACATGACTTGAACCTCTTCAACAAAGGTCCATTTAGTACATGTTAAGGTTATTACGGAATACCGACAATAACACATTGTTGTTTTGTTGATATTGTCATGCTTTTGAGAGAGCAAATAAGAGAAATTGCATGAATTTTTTGTATCTTTGCTTCCTATACCTCGCACAACTTGGGGTTTGTTTGTACCTTTTCAATTCTCACATGCTACCCTAAAGAAGTGCAATCTTACTTGTTTCAAAATGAAAATAATTATTGTGCGACTGCTCAGATCTAGAGCAGGATCAAAATACTGGTAGGATCCTATGGAATTCTCGAGCCTATGGCATGCTTGTGGAATTTGCCTTAGGGGTCGAAAGCATTTTGTATTGGTTAATAATGTGCATTTTGCTGAAGCTTTTGCAAATTTCTTCAGTTGGCTTCTGAAACGTACAAAGTGACTGATGTCAGAGCCAAGTGATCAACTATTAACATACAATAGGTTTGTCTAACTTTTGTCAATCTGGGTCCTTCCTTGTGGTGAATTCCTATATACTCTTGTGAATTTCGACAGTGAACTTGTTGTCGTGTTCTTGAAGGTTCTATATGATCAAGATCCTGTTATGCAGCTTCTAGATCTATTTGAGGCTGATGAAGAAATTGACATTGATCCGTGAGTGATTTTCTCTTACTTGTTCTAGTTCCTAATTATATGTCCTTTAAAATATGGCACCTGGAACCCCAAAATCTTTAGTTGTTAGTTGTTTATACCCGATGGACATACCAAGTGGAATTTTTGGCATCATCATTTATAGAAAGCTTCCAATAGAAATTCCATGTGTACTTATATCTTGAAAGTTAAACATTTTTCTGTCATTTCAGTTCACATATACTTTTCCTTGGGCTGAGTTGTGACATGTCATTATTGTTGATAGAATGGCTAACCATTAAATTATAAATTTTTTCTCTTGTGAATTATCTGTGAGTTTTGCTCCTCCTTGGCTTTCTTAATGAATTTCATTCGGCTAATAAGAAAAGGTTCGCCTAGCCCTAGTTATAGAATCATATGTATCATCCGGAGACATCAAGCGAGACAGGATTCATAATTAGACATAAGATGACCTTATGATTCTACAGGTGGTGGGTCATCTCTTCGTCCTTTGTACCTGAAATTTGGTGAGGCAATGGCTTGGATACTGCGAGGTGTGATCATCTTAGTATTGCCTTCATGTACTCTAGCGGCTAATTTTGTTGGCCTTTGCTAGGTTGTGCAATCCATTTATATAGAATTAGAATATTAGGGTGTAATTGTAACAGCCCGAATTTCGATGTAATTCCGGGATCAATAAAACTGATATTAATTCGCATTTCATTTTAGTAAGTCTCGCCCAGAGCTGATCACTCTCGGGATACTAACCAATGAGGTATGACTAACTAGGAAACGGTACGTGGACCGGGGACCCTATCGTGAAACGGATACCGATCACAAGAGACGCTGAGGGAATATTTTGGGCCAATGTGGACCGATCGTAGGAAAGGGTAATGGATTGGGTTTGGCCAAGGCCTACGATGTACAATAGGGACGCGGGTGATTCTGCAAGACCGAAAGTACACGTGGTCAATCAGTCCTGAACTTGAACCGAACGATCGTGACCTCTGGAACTAGTGATAATTTCTTATTCTCTCAATGATCGAGCCCATTACGATATGGATAGCCCTAGGTCGATACGCATGACCTCTAAACAGCCGTCCGTTAGTGAGAGACCTTGAAATTGAAAGTTTAGCGAGCTTTGTTCACGGAATTGGGTCCGAATTTCGATGTTGATTTTCGAAGGCTTAAGAGACTATTTTTGGGAATTTGACGTCATATTACGTTGGTCATACACGTTTGGAGTTAGTACGAGTAAAAATTGGAATTTTGATCCGGGGGTGAAAAATTACGATTTTGCCCCTTGGGACGCCAGCATTGCTTTTCGAGGCCAAATGAGGTTATTTTTCGAGGCCGACACCATTTTTGGGTGGCCACGCATACCAGGAGTCGTTATGGCCAAAAATTGGAATTTCGACAGAAATTTGAAAAATAATATTATTTTATTCCCGAAACTTTGCAGTCGATTTTCGAGGGCTTGCGCGATGAATTTCGCGATTCCGACGCCACATTATGTTGGCCATGCACATATGGAACACGTATGTGCGAAAATTGGAATTTCACCCCGGGACCAGAAAAATGACGGTTTTGCCCCTGGGCTAATTTTTGGTCCGAATTTTTGAAATAATTTTGGGATAATTACCAGAGGTTATCAGCTCAATTATTGAGGGCCAAGGACCATTTTACCCTTCACTTTTTGGATAGGATCGAATTAGAACCGTTAGATTATGGGCGTTTTGGTCAAATGGCTCGGATCAGCGACGCGTGGCGCAAGGGGCTGCTATTTCTTGACCTGGTCAGACTAGTTTCTCTCTCCTCTTCATTTCTCTCGGCCAGAACAGCCCCCAGCCAGCAGCTCCCTCTCCATTTCTCTCTTTTTCTCTCTCGGCAAGCTTTGCCGGAGCTCGCTGCCGGCCGCCGGAGCGCCGTCGACGGCCACCGTGCCTCGCCGTCGACCATCTCTGTCCCCAGCCTCAGTCTCAGCCACACCCGACCCCTTTCTCTCTCTATTTCTCTCTCTTTCTCCCTCTTTTTCTATCTTTCCATCCGGCAAATAGGGCCGCCGGAGCTTTGCCGAAGCTCGAATCGCCGTTCCGTCGCCACCCAACCGTCCAGCACGCCGTACGACGCCGACCGTACCTGTCCGTACAGTGTCCGTACGGTCGGTACTGTTCCGCGCCCCCGTACGGTCACTGTTCACGCGTCCGTACGCCGTCGCCGGGAATTTCGCCGCCGGTTTCACTGTTCACCAGTGATCGGCCGCCATTCCTCGACGTCGTGACCTTGGATTAGGTGAGTAAAATTCCTAAACCCGGATTAGGACTAATAGTGCATTTTTCTGGACTGGTTTAGGTATTATCGGCACATTTGGGACTGACTTAGATAGTATCAGTGTGTAACTCAGATTGGGTTAAGGACTGATTGGTAGAAATTATTATCGGGAAAAATTTATTGGATTAATGAGAATTATTTGGGGAGATTAATTGAATTAAATGACCAATTTAGGAGCCCATTGGAAAATTACCGGGTATGTCCGGGTTGACTGGTTGTACGTAATTTGTGCTTAATTGTGATTGATTTCATACTACCATGTCGCATGTCGTGTGGCTGAATTATGTGGAGTGCGATTGGCCAATGTTTAGTTTGAAATTAATTACTGATTTGTGAATCGCACGTTAGGCCACGCGGTATTAATTGGGCCAATTAAGCACATGTTGTGACATTGGGTGTCTGAATTATGTTGGTGCTCGTGGTGCATTGCATTGCATAACATGGACACGCATCGCGTATGCCAAGAGTGAGGCATGTGATGAAATTGTGCGAGAATGCGTGTCTGCCATGAGCATGTGATCACCTAAAATACCCTGAAGCGTTATACGCTGGGCTCAGATAATAATTAGTTGTGTGATCACCTAAGGACCTTTGGGTCATGACCTTCGGGTCGATACCGTCCTCATGCACTTTGAAGCAGGACGATGCCCGATACGTCCGGAAGGCGACCATCCTCATGCACTTTGAAGCAGGCTCTGGTTCGTAAGGAGAACAGTGTTGCGCCTCATGCACTTTGAAGCAGGCTAGAGACACTGGGCCAGATCGGTTGCTGCGCCTCATGCACTTTGAAGCAGGCTAGACGCACCGGGCCCTGAATATTGTTGACTCGAGTCGTAATAAATAATAAATTGGGCGATTGCCAATGTGCCAGTGTGGGCCAGTGGGCCAGGAAATGAACGTGACATGTCGACGACATTTGCATGCATGAACATGCGTGGACTGGCATGCGAGTGTGTGAGACTCGGTGCATGAGCATGTGATTGGCGTACGTGTGACTAGGTGCGCCACATATGTGCCGTGATTATTATATATTGAACTGTCTAACCTACAGGGTCAGAGAGCTATTCGATTGTTGTTGTGTTATTGTTTTAAGTATTTGTTTCCGGTCAGGAGATTGCATGCTAGTCTAGCCTAGGTTTAGGGGTTGAACTTACTGAGATTCGTCTCACGGTTGTGTAAACCGAAACTTTTCAAACCCCCAGCAGTAGAATGCCGAGGTCATCACCTCTTTTTGGAATACCGCATTTTATCCAGCGGTCATCGAGCATACACCCCGGTGGGGACGGAGCAGAACGGAAAAGTGGCTATTTGGTTATTCCCAACTGTTGGTGTTTCCTTTTTGGTTGTAGTGAACACTGTAAAAAGAGTTTTAAAATAGTAATATAAGTATGTACATATTTTCTGCGTTGATCGTTGTTTATTACTTGGCTATCCTTGGCTCGTATTTTATATTAGTCAGGGTTTGTTATGTATTGCTTCCGCATGTGTTTGATCTATGCCTATTCTGAACGTGGGTCAGCGACGCTTCCTGGGACGTCGCATCATAATCGACCTAAGGTGGGATGCTCGCGCTTCGTAGGGTTCGGGGCGTGACAGTAATGCAATTTGGTCATGCGTTAATTGACAGATTGATATTGTGTCAAGCCTAGTATTATTTTCATGTGCTTAAGCGGCTGACTCATGCTTTAAGGCAATGTAACCAAATAAGTCGCCAAAACTGAGGATATGAATTAACGGACACCCACCAAAGCCCTATGGCTAGGATCTTTCCCGCAATAATACCTACAGGTTCTCCCAATTCTGTTCCATGACTGGAACAGGAAATACTTAAGGGCACTGCTCTTCCACTAGATGAAGTTGGCTCGAGTTAGGGTGGTTTGCTGGGCTACAATTGTGGTTATTGTTGGTCCAGCACTATTTTAAGTAACCACATGATAAGAAGGATTGAAATTGACGGGTCGATTGTCGTTTCTCATTGGATTAGAAGGTCTTACATTCCAAAAGATTAAATGCAATTCCTTGCGCTTTTCTGCCTTGACATTTCTTGTCAGGTTAGTGAGATGTCTTACCCTCATTATTGTCTCGAAGAAAAAATGCAGAGAGTCAGAATTACTGCAGTTTGGAGGATTGGGGGACACCGAATATTTGCGGAGGACACTTGCAAAGGAATTTCAACAGATGGAACGCAGGTATTAGCAAAAGAATTAGAAAGCTGAAATGTAATAGAATCTTTTTAGTGTATAGAAGTTCTTACTTGAATATGTTATTTTTTTTGTTTTGGGTAAGGGCTTGAATATGTTGTTTATTGCTCTTTCATCGTAAATTCTTCACATTAATGCTAATCTACTTTTCCATTCATAAATGTTCTTAAACATGCTACCTCAGTGGTAAAAATATGAACTATGTGATAAATCATTGCTGTTATCTGTTGTTTGAAGTGATTGCTTTTTCCCCCCTTCAAGTCTGGTCCTCATTGCTGATATGTGTACCAAATGTGAAATTCTGGACCTCTTTGTATGCATAACAGGAGTTTGAGTATGATTACCCGCACTCAAAATTGGTTTCTGTAAACATTGCAATCCTTTAAAAAAAGCCTTGTGCTTTTGGTTTTAATCAACTCATCAATTATTTGAGCTGAAATATTCATTTCTCGTTTGGCTGATTCAGGACTTCTGCTAATGGGGTTTGTCTGTAGATATTTCTATCGATATGCCTATTACCATAAAGTTGTACCTATATTTTTCATATCCTTGCCTGAGTGGCCAAAACCTTGAGACTATAATGAGAGATGGAGAGAAAGAAAAGGAAACCTTGGGGTTTAGGGGTTGTCTTCTGGAGGTTGTCCTCAACAATGGTTTTTCACTTACCCTCTGTCCAATAATCTAGTTTTTTGTATTTGATCTCAGGTTTGATTACTTGACAATGTACATGGAAGCTTTAGTTGGGTGATCTTATCGGATTGGGCTCTTTGTTTAGCTTATGATTGTTGTGTATGGAAATATTGTATCTCATGTTTCCTGATTCGAATCTAATTTGATCATCACAGTTTCAAGGAAGTTGCCCAGATGCCTTTCTCTTCTATTTCAAAAAAGATACTTAGTAAGAATTCATTGCCACTATTCCCTCTTACGTCAGTTTCAGGATCCACCAGATACATTCCCAATTCACTGTCCTTCTATGGGGTATATACCTTTAATCTGAAAATACAAATATTATCCAGAGATCCACATGTGCAGAGTACAACTACTTTTTCATGCTAATCATTTCTTTGTGTGGCTCTGCAGGATGACTCTGAATTTGCTTCAGATCATATTTCCTTCCAAATACCTGACGAGTCTTTTTTAGATGTAACAAATTGTATAGCAATAGTGTGAGGACTTACCAATGATTTAAGCAATGTGAAGCGGGGAAGACCTTTGGAAGGATCTTGTTGTGCATCCCTCCTGGTCACTGTTGTGTGGATTTGGCTCTATATAAGGTAAAAGCTTGGAATATCATATTTTATAGCCCAAATTTGCAAATGTGGCTAATATATTCTTTTGGAAACAGGAACATCATAATGTTATGTTGCTAAATTAGATGAACGATACTCGTGAAAAGTTGGGAGATACCGAGATGACGATCTTGCGGGCCAGTGACCTTGCATTTGTGCATATTGCAGGAACCGCTTGTGCAAATAACTGGGAGTTGTACCAATTGACGGTAACTCGTGGATCCGGAGCTTGCATATTGATTTCTTACTCATAATATCCTGAGTTCTATTCCGATCATGTCAATTCACTATTTAAGACATTGATCACTAAAGGAAAAAACTAGCATATTGTGCTTTTCTGTCGACTCCTGTTCTTTTCGGAGTTTTAAGAAGTGGCTCTGGTTGGACTGGGAACCAGACCTGTCAAGTCTGGTTTCCCAGCAGAAATGGTATTGGTCAAGAACTGGTGGTATAGACCCTGTTCAACCGGTAACCAGGTGTACCTGTCAACTGGTACCTGGCAAATCTGTCAACTCGTCTGGACCAGTTCTTCTTTCTTCAATTTGTGGTGGATAATGACATCAAGCGTGTCTAATCTGTTTAGATGCTACGGTGTCTGCCGACTCACTGGGCTTCTTTTGTTCTGAATGTGTGTTATCTAATATATGCAGAGTATTCTATCAGATGACATCACATGCAATCGGTTCAATCGGTCAAACCTGTAGAGCACGGTTCTACCTGTTTGACCAGTTGAACCACTGGTCCGGTTTTAAAAACGTTTGTTCTTTTATTGTTCCTATTTATTATTTATCTGCTCTCCTCATCAGCATGTGTACCAGCAGCTTAGTTTTTCCTCCTATGTGCATAATGCATATACATGCCAATGCATGCTTGCGATTTCAAAGGATGTTTTACTTTCTGCCTTACCGTAACTGCAAAAGTTCCAACATACTTTGACAGTTGGAGCCTTGTACTTGTATCTACGTTAAGAAATGTGCATTTGATGGCCATAATGAGTTAGTAGTGCCATTTTCGCTTCTATTTTGTGAGGACATTTTTGCTTGGTTATATTATTCTCACTTTTGAAACACTAACCCCGGTGGAACTACACATCTAGGACCCTATCTTGCGCCTGGAGATGGAGAATGAGAAGCTTCGCAGCATTCCCCATACTGTAGTTCCTCCCTTGTCAGTTAGTGGTAAGAACATTTTGACACTGTCATACTATCGAGCTAAGGATCAATTCATTGCAATGCCATCAATTGTGTAGTTCTGAAAAATTTTTCTTTGAGCTTCTTACCATGTCCATTTGCAGTTTTGGATGTCTGGAAACTTATTGTTACCCATACTCTTTCGTTTGTGCATCAATGTTTGATAAACTTGCCAGTGTCAGTAACAAATTTATCTAGTTGGGCGTACATTGTGCCTCCTTAATGGACCACTTCATGTTTGTTCCTACGGATTGAAGTTGTGCAAAAGTATGCTCCAAAGAAGAACATTTTTTCAGTCTAAGAGGTAAAATACTGAAGTATTAGTTTTTCCCCTAAATTTTAAATCAATTGAGAGGACAAAGTGCGGAAAGGATGAATCCATAGTCGCCAGACAAATACAAAAAGAAAAATCATCCTCTTATGGTAGTTGCATTGCAGTCTGAGTTACCGACTGAGAACCACTGTGTACAATTTCATGATGATAGATCAAGATACTGTAGAGTATTCATAGTTTACATGCATGCCATAGCCTCTTTAGGCACGCAAGGTTTGCTTCCCGCCTGTGTTTTAGCATAATTCATGTGTTGTACTTTTACTTTTACCCAGCAAAGGTATCTAAACATCACGTTAGCTATGGCCATATATTCAAGGAACACCAGACTGAAATCAAGTTGATGTTTCTTTGGCAACAGCAAGTAGAGGTGTGGCTTGTGTTTTAGCTGCAAGAATGCAGGCCCTGGTCTACATACTGGACGAGGATGAAGATGAAATTTCTGATTCAGAATGACGGTTTGTTCAAGAATTTGTGGTGGTTATGCCCGTGTCGTTCCAGTGGGTGAACCTCTTAAGCCTTGAAGCTGCAGACATCAGTGTGAGAAGCAATGCATGTGGGCTTTCTTACCGAAGCGCTTCCACTCCACCCTTCTTGGAGAGTCTTAATTTATACCTGCCATGTGCCTTTTCTGCTAGGCAGGCATTTGTCGAAGAGGAAGATGGAGTAAAAGGTAACTATTTATCTATCGAGTTAGATAGAATTGACCGAAAGATGCTGAGTCATGCCTTCTGTCCGGTGGTAACTGTCTTCGTGGTATTGCTGCAAGCTCTGAGACCTACTCGATAGTGCCAAGCTTTTGCTTCATCTGTATATGTTTATTATTTTCATTTGTAAGAGAACCAAATGTTTGGTTTGGATTATTTATACTTTGGGTTGAATGGTAAATGGTTCACACAGTGTACTCGACTAACAAACTTTTCATTTGAATGTTGAAATCTCTCACCCGAGATTGACTCACTCCTTCACGTGTCATTGTTAAGTGATGCATCCCATCCGATGTGCAAAATTCATTCATGTGTGGAACATGACTAGCCAAATATATATATGGTTTCGATGTAGTAGTAAAGAATATATGCTATATTCCAATCTCAGAGATGTGGAATCCTGACATAAATGGTTGATTTAGGATCTTGACATTGTGTCTACAATATCGTTAATGGATTTCACTTCCTTAATAAAGAGTATCATGTAGTCTTTTTAACTTAATGATGTATAAACATTTGGGAATCTGAAATTGTTTCATTGCATTATTCTTTCTCTTGGAATTATTGCCAATCTCGAGGAGAAAGAATGTGTGAATGTAACATGTGCATATGTGACACTTCTCTTCTTATGTTTATTATTTATCGTGATGATAGCTTTTTGTGAACTTTAGCTGAATTTACTCTAAAATTAAATCCTCCTTTATTCATCGCCCTCTCAAATCTTCACGTCTGCAATGAATTTACTCGGTATTTCAACATGAGCAAGCCCTCTCATCATCGTAGCCTCATGAATCCTTACGAGGATTCGAACTTGTGATCCAACAACGTATGGTCGTCGCTCGCATTTAAAATGCGCGGGAAAATTGCAAGTTGTGTCTCCAGTGGGTGACACGTGTCCCTGACCTCGTCTTCTCCCTTCCCCTGGCACGACACCCCGTTCGTGGACAGCGTCTTGATCCTCTGTACGCGTCGCCTAGTGTCAGGAAGTTTCCGCATCGACATTGAATTCCTCGACTATTGGATGCCTATTCTCAGCCCGTGGCTTCATTTTGCTGTCCACCGCCTTCCCTGAGGATCTTTCTGTCAACGTGGATACGAGGCCGTGTGAGCGCAGTTCCACTGCCCCTTCACGGATGCTCTTCGTTGGTGAATCTGCATTTGAGGCCCTTTAGCTTCTCGTGTAGTGGGAGTATCGCTCGGAGTAATCTTAAGTCCTTGTCCATCTGCTGCTCGGAGGTCACCGATGAGGTGATGCATGAGACCTTGAAGGGTGTTGGAAGAATGCCGCGGTTTGAAGCAAAACATCAAGCTTTATTGGAGAACTTTGAGGGAAATTGTGATCGCTTTCTGCGTTTGGTATGCACTTGATGAGGGTTTCCCATTGGAGCTTTTGAGTCCTCTTTTGCTGCCGTTGCATTTGAGAGGGTCGTTTGGTATGATGAGGCAGCTGGTAATTGAAGCCTCATCCTTGATTAAAGCTGAGTCGAAGTACTCTTCTTTTTTTTTCTTTTTTAGACGTGAGGATTTTGGAAGGCAAATTGATTGATCCATTCGAAATTGGTTCGAGTCTTGCAGAAGGTATTGCAGCCTGGTTGAGGGACTGCCTCAGAGGCCTCAGAATGCAACCAAGCTTTTGATTGGTAATTGGTGAAATCATCCTAAATTTTATTACACCGGAATCTGGCTTACATTGTTTGCGACTCTGCCCGATGTCGACCGGTGCAAATGTATATTGTGCCTTCAGAATAACTTACCAAAAGACCAAAGAAAAAGCAGCTGGTGTAGGGTCAGTCCATATCCGGTTCAGTAGGCATGGACAAGGAGAGCGTTCGCCGCTCGACTAGGGAATAATTCCGTACGTTCGAGTTCAATAATAAATCATCAGAAATTGGAAAATAAGAAAAAAATGGTGTGCGGTAAGGGGGTGGATTTCGGGTGGTGATGGCAAACGACATGGTCGCGTATTTTTATCCGGCTGAGTGTTTGGAGCTTGGGTGGTGACAGCAAATGGCTTGGTCGAGTTCGAGCTTTGGCCCGTCGTCTCGACATTTAAGCATGCGTGATTGTTCACTCTGGTAAGATGCCCATTTTGAATAATTCGTTTGCATATGTTTTTTTTTAATTCAAAAGTAAATGAGGATGATCACATTGCTTTTTTTCCAAATTACATTTCAATAACTAATCCACCACCACATTAGCATCAATGCGATGTCTCATGAGTCTGACGTGGCGGGCCTTTACGATGTTTGACAAGCGGAGGAGGAGGGCTTTGTTAGGGTGCGCAACGAGATTACCGTTGAACATATGGACTCGAATTAAACGATATCGTTTATTAGACAAACTTGAACATCATGCCGTATGGCATTATTTGTAGATTGACGCGAATTAAGGCTCTTTTTGTTCCGCGAAGAATTAATGATTTGGAAAATATATTTATAAAAGTGATTGCTTGTATTGCTTAAAATAATTGATCAATGAAATACGTCTCATCATCGACAATAATTTATGTCTAGACATTTTCATGCATGATGAGAATTTCTTGCGTTCTCATACATTTTGCAACCGCACGAGCGATTATTTTTTCAACAATATTTTTCAAATTGTTCGCTTTTTGCGAAGGATTTCAGTTGGCAATTCAATACAGATCACTACTCTGGAAGTGATTTCAGCTTTATCTTTTCAACTGATAGATAAAGGTGTAGCAATTTGATCCGTCGCAGAACTCGTGTGATTTCAACACACAAGTGTGCATGCGGGCTATATGCAGTCCGAAGATCGACACACGAATGGATGGACCACTTGATCCACGTTCAACTTATAGATTTTCCTCTTTTCATTTTTAATCAGCAACGACGCATGTTAGCGTACAAAAGCGCATCGTTTTTGTCTATAGCATAATCCACCGGATCAAAATTCTCGTTCGCAACAAAAAAAAAGTTTGTAAAAAGCAAATAGGATTTCGTAAAAGAAATGCCTAAACACTTGTTAAGCAACCGTACGAATAAGCTTCACGATTTTCAAATGCGCTGCATTTCTCATTTTTTCATCTTCTTTTTCTTTTCCGCGTTACCGTGCTGGTCTGTTTGGAGTTTTTTTTTTCTTTTTTTTCTTTTGAGAATTTTTGCCATCGTATTTCTGAATAATTTTGGAGAGCAATTATCAAAAGTTCATATCAGGTATAAGCAATGCAAAAAAATAAATGAATGAAGATAAGATAGACGATGACGTATTGGCAGCACAAAACATCCCATCTCGTCAATCTTCATTTGGCTTAGCATAAAGGAGACAAGGGTAAAAAGAAACTTCTTGATCTCCATCGTCCTCGTAACAAATTTCAAGGAACAAACTATTAGGTACTTTCCGAAGATTATTGACCATCGATCGGAACTTTCTTCCATTGGAATAACGAAGATTATAACAAAGTCCGGTGCTTTCGAAACTGATCGGCAGACGATCAAGCACGTTCCAAAAGAATTCACGACCCATTTGGTACGGGGAAACGGAAGGTACGAAAGTTCGAAACGAAACGGAGAAATGAACGAAACGGGAAGAGGAATAGGGTCAGCGTTTGCCTTTCCGCATTTGGTGGTGATTATAAGAATTAACCTATTATTAATTCAAAAGATTCATATTCCAATGTGAAACGAAACATGTCCTTACTTCTTAAGAGAAGATAACAGTACATTTGTTGGGAGCTTGAGAAAGCTGTGCGCTTTTTCACGAGAGATGGTGGCTGCGGTTTCCGGCTGCTTGACGGAGCTTTCTAGCGATGGAGACCGACGAAGAAGGGTCGACGGCGAGTGCTTCCGTTTCAGGTTCAGGTTCGACAAAACCCGCTCTCTTCCTGATGGGCGGGCCGATTCGATTGTCTTCCGATTCGGTTTTGGTGAGGCTGTTGCTCGATTTCTTCCGGTTGGCGGGCGGGTGAAGATGTCGTGAGTGGAACCCGGAGAAGGATTTGCTGGCCATGGTCTCACGGAGGGACTCCACGGAAGGTGGGGGGTGCTTCGTCGTTTCGATTGGCAAGAGGCTGTGGACAATCTCTCCTGGTAATTTGTGGGTGTCTTCAGCGATGGCTTGGTGCGTGCCCCTTTGAGTCATTGGCCTTATCTCCTTTTGCTTTTCCTAAATGTGTTACGCTCCTTTTCCCCAAATTAATCACTTCAATTGCCAATCTAGCTCAAATTGCGTCTGATGGAGAGTTGGTGAACATAGAGAGGTAAAGTGCTTGAAAGTCTGATTGAGAACAGGACGTCGAACTGAGAAGTTGGTGTTTTACACACAAATGAAGAGTGAATGATATGGAAATGAGAGTGAAAATTTGGATGTGACATAGTTGCAAGTAACGAATCCCAAGCTGATATTAGTTGAATGAAGGGATGTTTATTTACAGGCGCGATGGATTCCTATCAACTTCTAGACGAGATTGGTGCCTTAGGAGATTTCCATAACCTTACTGACAGTCATCTGGACCAACCGCAAGTGTACCCTACTCCTGTATTGCCATCTTGTTGCTCGTTTTGGTACACCAGTTAAAGTGTCCATGAAGATATAGAACTCAAATCGGAGGTGATGTCATTTATGATGGATAGACTAGCTATGTCAGATGCAGAAATGCTTGCTGCCCACATGGAGTTGGCTGGTTTAACCCCTGCAGAATACCATCACAATGTCGTCAGGCATCTATATAGTTTTCCTTCGATTTCTGTTGGTGACTCACAATGTAATATTATTTCTGGTTTAATAACCCCTGCAGAATACCATCTCAATGTCGTCGGACTTGAATCTGATTGATGTGCTCAATTGCATTCTCCTGTAGGACAAATAATTGTCACCTTGTTGCAGATGTTGTCACCGATGATCTAAAATGTTTCAAATGCCAATGACGAATTAAAGTAGTGTTTACTGGTGTTGAGCTCATTGTGAGGATCTACGGTCTAAGTGGATGGTGTCATATAGAAGCAGTCATCCATGACATGCTCATTTTCATCAAATTAATAGTTTCTTTCTATTATTAAAAGTTACATATGTCCAGTTCAGTCAAATTAGGAAGGTAATAATTTGGGTGACTCCTAAATGAGAGAATTTGTATGTGCCTCAATTATGCTTTTGGGGGAAAAGTTCGTAGATAACCGGTTATGTCATTAAGCTATAGCTGTTTGGTCATGGGTACAATTGCTCAGAACTTGGTTGATGCTGCTGCAATAAAGTTTCTTTGCGATTTCTACAAATTTACTAATCATTGTCCACTTCATGGATTAAGTTTTGCTCTAAAGAGCTTATTTTTACATGTGAAAGTTATCTTACCAATCTAGCTGTCGTTATGGAACCGTGGATATGTGGTGTGCTGCTTTTTATATGCCAGTGCTTGCAGCAGTTATATATACTGTGGTATATTTATTTTTAACACGGTATAAATATTAAGCAGAATGGAAAACTGTTAAGAAGCTTGAATTCCCATGCGGCAGCTGTGGTGTGTCTCAATTGGGAGGAGGATGCCCAAGTGAATAGAGTATGCATCTTTCAAGTTGAAAAAGTTAATATAACTTCTCAATCTTGATTCTTAACAGACAATATTTTATTGTTCATACCTTTCATGTTATATCTAATGCTTTGTTTGCAGTTAAGTAGTTATGTTAGTCTGGTTTACTTAAATATTTCTTTTTTCAAAATTAGAATCTTATTTCACGGTCCAACAGCTTCAATATGGGTCTATGGAAGGTTTTTTGAAAAAGTTACGTTTGGTGTCAGCCGTGAGTTGTTGATTTGCTGATTGTTGACTCCTTAACTTTAATCTCTCCTAATATTTTTTCTTCTTTTTTTCCCAATTGGAAAGATAATTATCCATTTTTTCATAGGACACTTCTGGCAACTCTTTGGCATTTGAAGATCGCACTACTCGTTACTTCCCTCCAGCTCCAAGAGTTCCTCGCATGCCTGGACTAGTACCCAGAGAAACTGATTTAACTGACGATGGTCAAGATTCATTTGTAGAGCTCTCAAATTCTTCAAAGCAATGTTTCAATATCCTTTGCAGTTGAGATTGTTGGGGTTTTGTTGTAAGCCTCCTGTATGTTCAGATCAAATATATAGCAGTATAGTCTATCGGATTCAGTCAATGAGTACTTCTTTCCTTTCTTGCTTCCATACAGCAGTCTTTCTTAATAAATGGATCTAATGGCAGAAATCAGTATTGCCTGGAAGTAATGGACTGGTTAAGTAAACAACTATACTGGGTGAAGTTAATTCTTGTCAAAGTTCTAGATTTCACTTTCTATTGGTCGTTTCAGAGATGACACCTCCAACTTCGATGCAGCACAATTATCTGTAGCTTTTGTTGTTTGCCCTGAGTGCTCCTTCTACCTATACTGCAGTTGAAGCACCTAAAGGAGAATTTGGTGTCTTTCTAGGTTAACCTGCTGTCCAGACTTTATGCTTTTGTTTTGGACTCGAGTCTCTGCTGTGTTTTAGGAGATTGAGAGAGCCTTTACAACCATCGGTTGGGGAAAGTGTTCTGTGAGCGTGTATACCTGTGGGTGTGCAACCATTAGAAGATTTAAAATATTATGGACACCTTTTTTTTTGTTGGTTGGATATTTGTCCACTTTCAAAATATTATGGACACCTCCAGTTTTTCAATACGGAGGACGAATCCATCTGTTCCACCCGAATTAAGAAAATTCGCCTCCTTAAAATCCGAACCTTCCAACTTTTGCAAGGGCGCCCTCTCCACATAGCTCCACCATGACTTCTCCTAACACGTCTTTGACTTATTTTAATCTTTAAGCTCATGAGATGTCATACTTGCTCATGCATATGGTTTTCGCTGAAGAATTATCTTAGAGAAGTTAGTTACGGATATATATATTTTCGGATGAGCTAGGATAAAGATTTTCAAGCGCGAGATCTGGCTCGAATCATCCATTGATCAGGTCTACAAAGCATTCCAAGATAAGCAAGCCCCGTCATCGTAGCCTCATAGATGTATTAGAAGTCCAAAAAAATCAGTACGTACATTCGAGCTCGCGATCCACTGCATAGCCGCCGCTCTGCATTTAAAAGGCGCGGGAAAATGGTCGTCCCTCCATCGAGCGACACGTGTCGCACCACCGGAAGCCAAAGCTCCAGTCGAGCGAAAAGAATCCTAAAACTGGAGGCTCTCCTTCCCGTTCAATCGTCGAACCCACATGGCGAAGAAGCGATCGCAGACCTCATCGTCACCGTCCTCTCATCAGTGCAAAACCCTAGGCGACGATGCTGATCACATCAGCATCTTGCCTGACTCGGTGATCCACCACATCTTCTCCTTCCTCGACGTCACACACATTGCCTGAACCTGCGTCTTGTCGACACGGTGGCAATCCGTCTGGACCGCCGCCCCGGACCTCATCTTCTTCTTCCCCTGGCACGACTCCCCGTTCGTGGACAGCCTCTTGATCCTCTACGCGTCGCCTAAGGTGAGGAAGTTCCACATCGACATCGATTTTCTCGACTATTGCGAGCCTGAGCTCAGTCCCCTGGCTATGTTGGTGAACCTGCATTTGAGGCTCCTTAGCTTCCCATTTAGTAGGAGTGTCGCTTGGAGTAATCTCAAGCCCCTGTCTATTTGCGGCTCGGAGATCACAGATAAGGTGACGCACGAAATTTTGAAGGGCAGTCCTGTTCTTGAGTGCATTAGGTTGGAGGAATGCCGCGGTTTGAAGCAAAACGTCGAGCTATGTTCGAGCAGTTTGAGGGAAATTGTGGTCGATCGCTGCTTTTGGTATGCACTCGATGAGGGTTTCCCATTGAAGATTTCGAGTCCTCTTCTGCTGTCGTTGCATTTGAGAGGGTCGTTTGGTATGATGAGGCAGCTGGTAATTGAAGCCACATCCTCGATTGAAGCTGAGTTGAACTTTTTTGTGAGACGTGAGGATTTTGGAAGGCGAACTGATTGTTCTGTTCAAAATTGGTTCGAGTCTTACAGAGGGTATTGCAGCCTGGTCGAGGGACATTGACATTAGGCGAGAGAATCCGCGAGCTGAGAGAGGCAAACTAAGAGACGAGAACAAGAGAGGGAGGCAAGAGTTGAGACTCGCGATGGCTTCAAGCTAGAGGGAGGGAGGCGGCTCTGCGTGACTGTGTGAGACTAAGTGTGAGAGGTGAGAGGTGCGAGACTAAGCGAGAGCCAAGAGGTATAAGAGGCGTGAATTGGAAAATTAGGATTTTGATTCAAAGCGAATGCTAAATTACACATACTACCCCCAATCATCTTTTAAGGAGTTATTCCCATATATTCCTTCTCGCCAATTTTCTCTAAAAATCGCTGCTGTGAGGACTCAGTCCCACATGACACACTGTCACGTCAGTGATTTTCTATGAAAATTGGCTGTAAGGATTATATTGGAATTATGCACAAAGGTTTATGACTAAATCGATAAAATTGAAAAGTAAATAACTAAATGACATCTGTGCAATAAGTTTAGGACTAATTGAACAATTTTCCCGCAAAATTGATGTTAGAAGGGACTTCCGTGAACAAGGCTGTTTTCCACAACTATTAAAGTTGTGTCATGTTGTGATAGATCTGCAAGGGGAAGAAAGACGAGAGCCCCAAGATGGGATGATAGAGAACAAATGATTAAGTACATTTTTCAAATAACTAGCTCTTGCTAAATATTGAAAGTTAGGTTCTTGAACATTTTCTTACTCCCTATCAAGTCATGTAATTTGCATGTTCGGAAGCACTCTATCAGTCTGCTGACATCGCAGTGCTTACATGGCAAAAATTTGCCAGGTGGTGCTAATTTACATGCCACGTCAGCAAAAAAAATAACACTAATTCGAAAAAAAAAGGAGGGAAGGAGGGAGAGTGAGCTTGGTAAAATATGTGGAACCCGTTTCATCCTCACACTTTAGGGTTTCTACCAAGACCCATCCAGCTCGCGAGGATGTGGTTGCCCCTGGGGATGCAGTAGCCGGCCACGACGACATCCGACAAGGTGATGTGCGGGACCTTAATGTAGTTGAGCCAGAGGATATCGGACTCTTCTTGGACTAACCTCTCTTTTCCCACGACTCTAATCTATTTCTTCTTCAGCTTTCTTAAGAGTTTGGGCTGATTTATCATCTCCGCCATTGCCCATTCCACTGCGTTTGATGGATTGTCCACCGTGGCCATCATAATCTCCTACACACGTCAAGATGTACGATAAATGTTATGCATCGTTAGTTAGCTTTGAAAATCTAATTTATAACCACAATATGCAACTAAAATTATAGGTAAGTACGTACTGAATATAGGAAAATCTTTCTTAAAGGAGATTTTGGATAAATTTAACAGCATTAACATTAGAACGCCTAGATATCATCAACTCCATGCGTTACAAGTAATTTTATATGTACTCTCAGCGGGCCGTGAACATGTTTCTTGCAAGATGCCAATTTAGATAAACTCCTCGACCTGCTTTCCTTATTCAAAGTGAACGAGGATGACATGATTGACATCACATTGCCTTTTCCAAATTACATTTCAATAATTAATCCACTGCTTCTCGTAGCCTACATGGGCCCGAAGTGGGGGCACTTTGGGCGTTGTTGGACAAGGCCATATAGTTATAAAGTCCGGCCCGGCCCATTTCCTCCGGACGCTTCTGTACACTCCCTCGCGGTTTGCTCCAGCAGGCGGAGCTTTCTAGCAATGGATACCGACGAAGAAGGGTCGCCGGCGCGCGCTTCCGTTTCAGTTCCCGTTCGACAAGCAGCTGGCTTCTCAGGTTCGGCTTCCCTGTTCGGGCGTTATTTTCGCGACCTAATGGGTGGCCGATTTGATTGTTCCGACTCGGTTTAGTGTGGTTTTTGCTAGGTTTTATCCGATTGGCGGCAGGTGAAGATGGCGTGAGTGGAATCTGGAGAAGGATTTGCTGGCCATGGTCACACGGAGGACTCAGAAAGAAGGTGGGGGGTGCTTCCTCGCTTCAATTTGCAAGAGGCTGTGGAGGATCTTTCCTGGGTATTGCTTCGATTCGAGAAAGTTATCTTCTTCTTTTCTTATTTCCTTTGAGTCATTGGCCTTATCTCGTTTTGCTTCTTTCGCTTTTCCTAAATGTCCTACGGTTCCTTTTCCCGGGAGGAACCAACTGTAATTGCCAATCTTAGCTCGAATTGCGTTCGATGGAGAATTGGACGAATACAGAGGTATAAAGCGCTTGGAAGTCTAAATGAGAAGGTGAACGTCGAACTAAGGAATTGGTTTCTTTACACAGAAACCAAGAGTGAATGATCGTGATGCGGGTGGAAATCTAGAGAACTGAGGAGTAGTTACCCTTTTCGGTACACCAGTTGAAGTGTCCATGAAAATAAAGAACATGAATGGGAGGGGATGTCATTTATGCTAGATAGATTAGATATGTCAGATGCAGAAATGCTTGATGCCCCACTTGGAGTTGGCAGGTTTAACCCCTGCAGAATACCATCTAAATGTCATCAGGCATCTAAAAAGACCTTCTTAGATTTCTGATGGTGACTCTCACAAATGTAATTTTACTGCTGGCTCCTGTTCTTTTACTGATTGGGCATTCTTTTACTGACTGACCGTGCCCTACAAGGAGAGATTCAGTGGATACCGAAATAGAGTATAGGCGGAAAGTTTCTCACATTTTGCACTACTTGAAGTTTAATTTATCTTCTCATTACATAGGGGCATTTCGTCACGTCATTTTGATTAATCAAGTTTGCTGGCGGGAGTTTAACTTCTGAATAGGATATATCTCAAGCTATGCTGCGTACTTGTCTGACAGTCTGGTCGAGAGGAACGGAGGGAGTAATTGGAGAAAGCAAAGAGCATAGGAGGGTAAGGGGAGCTGCATCCAATTATGTTAAGATCCTATATGACTTAATCTTTTGGTAATTCAAATTTGTAAGAGCTTAGGATTAGGATGCCTAGCCTTGGTAGTTCGTGCTGTCTATTCTCACTGGAAAAATTTAGAGAGGAGATTTTTTCTCCAGAAACATCTGAATGCTTTGCTTGTCATATTGTCTTCTGGATATGAAAAACATGTTGTCGAGTGCACTATAGTACTTGAACCAATCCTTGAATGGTTTCTGTTGAGATCCTAAGTTGTAGATACTTGTACACTCGTGATCCTTGCCTGAAGTTTGCTTTCATGGATCCACCCCACTTTGAGGTTCCAAAGCTGAACAACAAGATTCATTTTTGGATTGAGACAATGGATTGGAGGCTGCCAAAAAGATAAAGATTCCCTGGCTTTAGATGACCTACTACCCCAAAGAAACACCATATCAAGCCACCGATATCCCTCTCAGTTATATTGTACTGTTACGAATTTTGATTATCATTTTCTTGGTTTATGTGTGTTCTCTATCTTTCCTCTTCGTCTATTAATTTTTTTGTTGTTGTTGTTTATGAACTCACTTTTCTTTGCACGTTTCATTGTATGTTGAAGACGGTACGGTTTTACTGCATGATGTTGAAGTAAGTTTTCTATGTTATTACTTTAACATTACCGTCACTACTTCTCAACTAGAAATTCTTCCTGCAACAATCCCTTGTCATCAAAATGTGTTCTTCTCTGATCTCTCTTGGGAAAGATTCTGAATTGCTCAAAAGCTGCGTGATGCATGCAAACAGCAAGCTTGCTCAACGAACATTTAGCTGCTAATAGAGATGGCAATCCATGTTTATGGTTCATGTCTGCCAATGTCAAATTAAGTGGACTGCTCGATAGGGCAATCTGAGTAGGATAAGCTTAACAAATCTTATTAGAGTCCAATAGCAGGCAAGCTCCGACGACCCTCGCCGGCCACAGTGATCAAATGCAAATGTTGATCAAGGCCGCTGTAAGGAGCCCTGCGAAAGTCATGATTACTATTGCCTTGTGAAACTGTAAAGAGCCTTTTAGGTCTTACAATATTATAAAGTGCTCTTACTTTCCCCATAATGAATAACGTCTTACAAGTTGTGTCTTCTGACTTTTATCATTTACTCAATTCTGTGGACAGTGGTTTTTGTGATTGCTTCATGTTTATAGCTTATTTTAATCTGGTGTTTATTAACTAACTGTTTTTGCTTATACAGGTGACTGATATATATGGAAACTACCTTTCTACTGAAGAAGCTAATGGATCTAAAGCGATCAAATAAGGGAGCTTTGCAAGTTATGTTAGATTTAAAGTTTGCATGTGATATTCTTTCTGGAGGTGATTCCACTATGGATGAGGAGTTGTCTAGAAGTTAGAGCCAAAGTATTCGTTTAGGCAAAAGGATCAAAGACAGAAAAAGTCTGCCATCAGAACATGTATAGATGGATTGGTACATTGTCTTTCACAGAGATTGGATCCCATAGACTGGCTCATGTAAGTTACTGGATTTTTTTTTGCAGTATATATTCTACAAGCAGACGGTACTCCAAGATGTTTTTACAAAATCCGATCTCGCTCCTCACGAATATTTGCATCCGACAGTTTTATACCTTGATTCTGTTTTTCATTTAAATTTGTTTCAAAGAGTATATTTCAAGCTAAGATATGAAGATTTTATATAATCCGTGCTTAGATTAGAGGGTAAATGACAATAGTAGGAATAGAAAGAATTTTCTTTCATGATCAAGCGGTTGCCCTTTTGTTAAACCTGGGTAGAAGTTATTGCATGTGAGATTATTCTGATATCTGAACAGCTCTTTCACACGTAATTGATGCTTAGATGATGATGCTCAAATTTGTGCAATTAGTTGTAGTTTTGTTTGATGTGTAGACATATTGTCCAGTGATGATTGTGTACTAAATGCTTTTATTGGAAAAGGTGGAAAGGGAGGAACATGAGAGGCGAGGGAAGAAGGTGGGACACATTAAAATTCCCTAGGATTATCAGTGATGACTTCAAATGAATTCACCGAAAATAGTTACAATCTTTACCTTCTTTTGGAAGTCTACTTACTATGTTAAAATGTAAGAAGAAATAGCTAATTGACACCCTTGGACCATCTATCTGGTATTAGCTGAGTTATGTTTACGTCCCAATAGATAGTTTTGTGATTATAACTCTTCATTTTGTTGCAGTTACCTAATAGTGTTTTCTTGTTCATTCATCAAAGGTTAGAGCCATACCTGTGGGAGAATGGGAGACAGTCATATTTACGGCATGCTGTCCTCGTCAGGTACTTTGTACAACTTAATCGGTTGTATGTGGATACAGTACAGAAACTGCCCTGGAATGCGGAATCAAATATTACGAGATGCTCCACAGTTCCCCGGTTTAAATACTTCCAATCAGGTTAAATATACCTTTCCATATGTTTGTGTTTGCAGGATAAATATTTGAGCTTTTGTAACCAGATTATCTCAAGAAAAGCGTCTCTTGTTATTGAATTATGTCTGCAGTGTACCTGCATTGTCTTCAAGGAGGACATCTAAAGCAACTACTGGTATTTCTATAGAAGCTTTTTCATCGAAGAGTTGGAAATCTTATAGTAATGGAGAAATTTCTCGAATAAATGATTTGGACGACAGATCGTCTTCTAGAGTTGCAAGCTCCATTGTTGAAGTCTTTTATGCAGGTGAGTGTGCTTTCTTTCTTTTGCTTCTCTTTCTTTTCCTTGTTATATATTATTTTATCATGTCCCTGGCTAGTCATCTACCTGCTTTATAGAGCTGTGTCGTGAACATCTGTGTTGGAGATGATATGTCTAACTTTCTAAGCTCTATTTGGACTTAATCTTTCAGCTTTGATATTTTCTTATTTGGAGAAACTCATAATTTTAAATTTGATTATATCTTTGGTTGTCGGGGTGTTTATTGGGGGTTTTCTGTTTCATTGCATGCATTACTGTTTGAGTTAACCAAGTCATTTGTGACATGGAATGTAATAAGTACCAATAGTCTGGGACACAGTGCAAGAAAACTCAGTGGTGTGACTGTCTGAAAGTGGTGATAGAAGTTTATAACTTTGGCCTTCCTTTTTCGTTTTTTGAGCTTGTTTGCATAGTTGTGCACCAAGATAGTGCCATGTACTTCATGTTGTTTTGGTACATCGGGAGTAGACATTGGCTTTTCGCCGAACATTGTAATTGTGAGAAGATTTTAGTTTCAGAGATGTCAGATATTTGGCTAGGTGTTTTCGAAAGAAAGTCTTTTTCCATGTTCTATGACATGCATCTGCTATTATTTTCTCTCACAATTGGCCAAGTTGGCGGCAGATTTGGAGAGAACACATTGAAACTGGGATCCATCCTGACTGATGGTCAAGTGGGCATATTCAAGGACAGTTCAGCTGCCGCATTATCGACATTCAGTGATGTTTTACCTATGCAGGCCGTGGGTCTTATTTCATCCTTCACCGCAACCCGACAGATGCTTGAATGAGAATGCCTTACACTATGCCAATTGATATTTACATCGGAAGCCACGACAGGTAAAACATGAGGCTTTTTCACACTTTGGCTTCCGGCTTTTTTAAGTTTCATCTGGGATTCTGGGGTACTCCTGGATTAGTGGTGCAGCCCAAAAGCTGTATTTATAGGACAACGGAATGAAAAAGAGAATACCTTTTGGATTGAGAGTGAGAGGGGCAAGAGCCGGTGTTGGTGAAACTGAGATCGAGAAAGGCTTCGTATTTGTTGTAGCGTGCCTGAAGGAATAAGTGAGCTGGTTCAGCATTTTTTATTACATACCTTTATTAGGCGTACACATTTGCAAAACATAAAATGGATGTTATACTGTCATAGGAGATGGCGACAGTGTCGAGGGAAGTTCGTTTCGTAAAAAGAAGACTTCCAAGTGAGGCATATGCTTGGACAGAAAGCTATGAGATGCTCCATCAATCACGTGCAGATCACTTGTTCTTATCATTCAAATTTTATATCCCATGCATTGTTTCGATTCCGTAGACAAAATTAAGTTACAACAATGTATAATTTTGGCTTCCTGGATGGCTGGATCTTTTTCCTCACTACCTTGTGCTCTTTTTTCTTTTTATGAAGCTTAATGCATTTTCACTACATTGTAATAGCTTTGATGTAACGTCTCTTGAACTCAACCTAAGCCATCCGTTGCTGTAAATTCAGTAGACTCCCTTCCCATTGAATCATCACTCTCTCTCTCTCTCTCTCTACTGATTTTGTTAGCTGGGGCTTTAGTTGTGAAAATAGCCCTGCGTTCTTGGGTGCGCCTATTTCAAATGACTTTCAACACCTACTGGTGGTATCATCCCCTAAGATCAGAAAGCGTTCGAACCAGCACGGGCGTGGATGGCGAGTTTCAAGAAGACAGGTGAGTCCTAAGGAGGGGCGACATGGTTCGGCCAAAGACGCACGATTAGGATGCTGCTGTTTGATAAGTCTTCCTTTGCCAGCTCTCGGTCCTGTTCCCATTCAAAGAACACTTTCGATATCAGCTTGATTCTTTGATTTCAGCTTACTATGACAATGAGTTATTCCGCAAGGCGTGTGCCATTTATCAATGTAAAGGGATGGAAATGAAACTATCCTGAGAGAGAGTTCGGACGATTTGTGAGTCAAAAGAGGGAGAATTACGTGTCGAAAAGAGAGAACACATGATATTACTCCATGTGGGGTTTTGGCTTTCTCTTTTTGACATTTAGTTTTAACTTGAAGTTGTGGGATTGAAATTAGACTTTTACTTATTCATAAGAATTTTAAGTTACCTTAATTTTCTCATCATTATTTGAAATTCGAAATAAAGTAAAACATTGATATTGGCGTGGATATATAGAGAGGGCATTCCCTTTTTAAGCTTAAGCCGGATCAAACAAGTCCTTTTAGCGTTTTTTTTGTAAGAGTTAATACCATTCAAAACTCTAAATTATACTCATCATGACATCGATATCTCTAACTTTTAATTACATCACCAGCGATCCTAAACAATGCTTAAGGTGATACAAATACTCCAAATTTTTTGTATTTTTTAACTGTCACCAAAACCTCCCAAACTTGTATCAGTGTTTAGGGTACCGGCAACACACACACAAAAAATGTTGAGTGTTGACATCATAGTGAGAAAAATTTAGGATTTTTTGTGGTAAACAGAGAATATTTTTGTCACATTGGTACAAGTATGGGCCCTATAGGGAGTTTTGGCGACAAAAAAAAAAGTTGGGATATTAAGGTTATTGGGCCTAGTTTAGTGTTTTTTTTTTGTAGTATTTTCCCTTTTAATAAACAAAGATTAGGAGTTTACTCATATTCCACTGCTTATTTTGCAATTATAGCTATAATTATGCATAGGAAAGAAGAAAGGCACCGATATAGCTCTTGGTAATTTTGAAGTATAATTTGATTTCTCGGTGAAGACAAAGAAGATATGTAAAGAGACGTCAAAAAGATAATATTCTCCTGTCAACAAAATTCGTTCAAATTGTCACTATCGTCCACTCCAACCTCCAAAAGAATGTCACTCGAAACTTCCTCTTCAACATGTTCAAGCACGCACAATCTAGTGAACGAAGTCTACAACCACACCGGCAAGAAATACAATTATTCTTTCAAGCCTTCATTTATAAAGCCTTTTTTCGAACGGCATACATGGGAATAACAACCACGAATTGCGGAACATCAATTACGAATTCCTTCGGTCTCCGGCTAAAAGTGAATTCTCATTAAGAAAAAACTGAGGGCTGCATACCATTTGCGGACATGCTAAGTGCCGAGTCATTTCAATTGTCTCAACAAATATTTTCATGGACGGTCGACCCATGTCGATTTAACAACATGTTCGAGTATTTCTATCCGGCCGAGTGTTTGGAGCTTGGGTGGTGATGGTGAATGGCTTGGTCTAGTTCGAGCTTGGCCCGTCGTCTCGACATTTAAGCGGCGCGTGAATGCTTACTCTCCTAAGATGTCGATTTGAGTAATTCATTAGCATTATTTCTTTTTTTTTTTTTAAAAGTAACCAATTCATCACAGTCGCATCAATGTGATGTCATGTGATTAATAAGAAAACAATGACGTGTCATTCAAATTGTCAAAGACAATTCTAAAAGTTCCATTAAGTAAAACAGAATTGTCCATAAAAGTCCACGTATTTATACTATAATAGATAGATTCGCTAATAATGAGCGTAGATTAACACAAAATTTTCAAGTTTCGGAGATAAAGCAGACGAAGCATTCATTACTTGGAATGACCACAATGCCCGTGATAAGCAAGCCATTTCTTTTCTTCAAAAGAGCGAATGATACATCAAACTTTTAATTCGGCTTTGAAATTGACAAAAGGGACCAAAAAACAAAAGAAAGAAGAAGAAGTAGAAGAAATAGCAACAGTTGAATTTCCCTTGTTTTTTCAACAAATGGACATATAAAATAATCTCGAAAAGTCGCTTACAAACTTTCAATCAAAATAAAATAAAAAAAAGGTAAAAGTCACCAAAAAATCATAAATATGCCTCGTTCGACACATTTACCCCAAATTTCTTTTTATGACATCAAAAATCCTGAATTTATACCTGTATGATATATTTATCCCACAAATTTAATGTCACAAGAAAAAGTTTGGATTTTATGACGTCGCAAAAGAAAAGTTTAGGGTAAATGTATCACTCATGTATAAGTTTGAGGTTTTTTGATATGACATGAGAAAATTTGAGATAAATGTGTCACATCGATACAAGTTTAAGGTAAATACGTCACGGTGGGCAAAGTTTATGATTTTTTTTTTTGTGGTTTTTTCCCAAAAAAAAAATTGTAAGAAATCGATTAGATTAGATTAGATTAGATCACAGAGTGGTCTTTTCCAGCTCTATTCCTTCACGAGCTCTCTCCCTCCCTCCCACTCTCGGGTTCGCATTTGCCACCGACGCTGCTTCCCGTACGCTCCCTCGCGATTCGTTCCAGCTGAGCTGGTTGGCTTGCGGTTCTCGGCTGCTCCCCCGGAGCTCTCTAGCCATGGGAGACCGACGAAGAGGGGGCCGCCGGCGCGCGCGCTTCCGTTCCGGCTTCGAGCTCGACAAACCGCGCTTGGGCTTCTCGGGTTCGGTTCCCCTCCTGATGGGGCGGGCCGATTCGATTGTGTTCGGACTCGGTTTTGGGTGAGGCTGTTGCTCGATTTCTTCCGATTTGGCGGGCGGGCGCGTGAAGATGGCGTGAGCGGAATCCGGCGAAGGATTTGGTGGCCATGGTCACACGGAGGACTCAGAGGGAAGGTGGGGGGTGCTTCCTCGCTTCAATTTGCAAGAGGCTGTGGAGGATCTCTCCTGGGTATTGCTTCGATTCGAGAAAAGTTCTTTTTACACGGAAACGAATTTCTAAATGTGCTACGCTTTCCCTTTTCCTGAGAGGAACCGCTGTGATTGCCGATGCGTTCGATGGAGAGTTGGACGAATACAGAGGTATGAAGTGCTTGGAAGTCTAAATGAGAAGGTGAACGTCGAACTGAGGAGTTGGTCTTTTCACACAGAAACGAAGAGTGAATGATGGTGATGCGAGTGGAAAATCTAGAGAACTAAGGAGTTGTTACCCTTTTCGGTACATCAGTCAAAGCGTCCATGAAATTAAAGAACATGAATCGGAGGGGATGTCATTTTTGCTAGATAGGTTAGATATGTCAGATGCAGAAATGCTTGATGCCCACTTGGAGTTCTCAGCTTTAGCCCCTGCAGAATACCATCTAAATGTTCATCAGGCATCTGAAAAGATCTTCTTAGATTTCTGATGGTGACTCTCTCGATGTAATTTTACTGCTGGCTCCTCTTCTTTTACTGATTGAGCATTCTTTTACTGACTGAGTGTACCCTACAAACAAGGAGAGATTTAGTGGATACTGAAATATAGACTATAGGTGGAAAGTTTCTCACATTTTCTATTGCTTGAAGTTTAATTAATCTTTGTCGCATTGCAGAGGGGCATTTCGTCACATCATTTTGATTAATCAAGTTCGCTGTTGGGAGTTGAACTTTTGAATAGGATATATCTCGAGCTATGCTGCGTACTTGTATGACAATCTGGTCGAGAGGGATGGAGGGAGGAATTGGAGAAAGCAAAGGGACTAGGAGGGTAAGGGGAGCTGCATCCAAGTATGTTAAGATCCTATATGACTTAATCTTTTGGTAATTCAAATTAGTAAGAGCTTAGGATTAGATGCCTAGCCTTGGTAAATTGATGCCTTTCTCTTCTATTTCAAAAAAGTTACTTTGTAAGAATTTATTGCCACTATTCCCTCTTACGTCAGTTTCAGCATCCACCAGATACATTCCCAATTCACTGTCCTTCTATGGGGTATATACCTTTAATCTGAAATTACAAATATTATCCAGAGATCCACATGTGCAGAGTACAACTGCTGTTTCATGCTAATCATTTCTCTGTATGGCTATGCAGGATGACTCTGAATTTGCTTCAGATTATATTTCCTTCCAAATACCTGACGAGTCTTTTTTAGATGTGACAGATTGTATAGCGGTAGTGAGGGGACTTACGAATGATTCAAGCAATGTGAAGCAGGGAAGACCAATGGAAGGATCTTGTTGTGCATCCCTCCTGGTCACTGTTGTGTGGATTTGGCTCTATACAAGGTAAAAGCTTGGTATATCATATTTTAAAGCCCAAATTTGCAAATGTGGCTAATATATTCTGTTGGAAACAGGAATGTCAAATTGTTATGTTGCTAAATAAGATGAATGATACTCGTGAAAACTTGGGAGATGCCGGGATGAAGATCTTGCAGGCCAGTGACCTTCCATATGAACCACTTGTGCAAATAACTGGGAGTTGTACCAATTGAAGGTAACTTGTGGATCCGGAGCTTGAATATTGATTTCTTACTCATGATATTCTGAGTTCTATTCCGATCATGTCAATTCATTATTTAAGACATTGATGGTAAAAGGAAAAAACTAGCAGATTGTGCTTTTCTGTCGACTCCTGTTCTTTTCAGAGTTTTAAGAAGTGGCTCTGGTTGGACCGTGAACCAGACCTGTCCAGTTTGGTTTCCCGGCAGAAATAGTATTGGTCAAGAACTGGTGGTATTGACCCTGTTCAACCAGTAACCAGGTGTACCTGTCAACTAGTACCCAGCAAATCTGTCAACTAGTCCGGACCAGTTCTGGGCCTTAAAAAAAATTTGAAGGAGTAGTGTTGGAGTTGGGTTGGGGTTTGGAACTCCAACCACTTGTAATTAACAAGCGTGCCAACCATTTGCTCCGGTGTCTTCTTTCTTCAATTTGTGGTGGATAATTTATTTATTGACCATATTGGCCTAACCTATTAGAAAATTGAACAGGATGCTATTAAGATGACATCAAGCGTGTGTAATCTATTAAGACGCTACGGTGTCTGCCGACTCACTGGGCTTCTTGTGTTCTGAACGTGTGTAATCTAATATGTGCAGAGTATTCTATCAGATGACATCACATGCAATAGGTTCAAGCGGTCGAACTGGTAGAGAATGGTTCTACCAGTTTGACTGGTTGAACCACTGGTCCGGTTTTAAAAACGTTTGTTCTTTTATTGTTCCTATTTATTATTTATCTGCTCTTCTCATCAGCACGAGTAGCAGCAGTTTAGTTTTTCCTCCTATGTGCATAGTGCATATACATGCCATTACATGCTTGGGATTTCAAAGGATGTTTTACTTTCTTTCTTACTGTAACTGCAAAAGTTCCAACATATCTTGACAGCTGGAGCCTTATATGTAGGTTAAGAAATGTGCATTTGATGACCCTAATGGGTTAGTGGTGCCCATTTTGCTTGGTTATATTATTCTCACTTTTGAAACACTAGCCCAGTGAAACTACACATCTAGGACCCTATCTTACACCTGGAGATGGAGAATGAGAAGCTTCGCAGCATTCCCCATACTGCAGTTCCTTCATTGTCAGTTAGTGGTTATAACATTTTGAAAATGTCATACTATCGAGCGAAGGATCAATTCATTGCTATGCCATCAATTGTATAGTTCTGAAGATTCTTTCTTTGAGCTTCTTACCATGTCCATTTGCAGTTTTGGATGTCTGGAAACTTATCGGTGCCCATACTCTTTCCTTTGTGTATCAATGTTTGATAAACTTGCCAGTGTCAGTAACAAATTTATCTAGTTGGCTGGGTGGCGGAAGTGAATTAATCCTGTCCATTCTCCTTACTACATTTCCACTTAGAACCTACTCTTAAGTGTAAATGTGACTGGCATAGGTACATTGTGCCTCTTTAATGGACCACTTCATGTTTGGTCCTGCAGATTGAAGAAGTGCAAAAGTATGCTCCAAAGAAGAATATTTTCAGTCGAAGAAGTAAAATACTGAAGTATTAGGTTTCCCCCTAAATTTTAAATCAATTGAGAGGACAAAGTCCGAAAAGGGTGAATCTATAGTTGCCAGACAAATACAAAAAGAATAATCATCCTCTTATGGTAGGTGCATTGCAGTCTGAGTTACTGACTGAGAACCGCTATGTACAAGTTCATGATGATAGACACTATCATGGTATCTAGTATAGCAAGATACTGTAGAGCATTCATAGTTTACATGCATGCCATAGCCTCTTTAGGCACACAAGGTTTGCTTCCCGCCTGTGTTTTAGCATAATGCATGTGTTGTACTTTTACTTTTACCTGACAAAGGTATCTAAACATCACGTGAGCTATGGCCATATATTCAAGGAACACCGGACTGAAATCAAGTTGATGTTTTTTTGGCAACAGCAAGTAGAGGTGTGGCTTATGTTTTAGCTGCCAGAAAGCGGGCCCTGGTCTACGTACTAGACGAGGATGAAGATGAAATCTCTTATTCAGAATGACCGTCTGTTCAAGAATTTGTGGTGGTTATGCTCGTGTTGTTCCTGTGGGTGGACCTCTAATACTTGAAGCTGCAGACATCAGTGTGAGAAGCAATGCATGTGGGCTTTCTGACTGAAGCTCTTCGACTCCACCTTTCTTGGATAGTCTTAATTTATACTTGCCATGTGCCTTTTCTGCTAGGCAGGCATTTGTTGAAGAGAAAGATGGAGTAAAAGGTAACGATTTATCTATTGAGTTAGATAGAATTGACCGAAAGATGCTGGGTCATGGCTTCTATCTGGCGGTAGCTGTCTTCGTGGTATTGCTGCAAGCTGTGAGACCTACTCGTTAGTGCCAAGCTTTTGCTTCATCTGTAAATGTTTATTATTTTCATTTGTAAGAGAACCAAATGTTTGGTTTGGATTATTTATACTTTGTGTTGAATGGTTCACGTAGTGTATTCGACTAATGAACTTTTCATTTGAATGTTGAAATCTCTCACCCGAGATTGACTTGCTCCTCCACGTGTCTTTGTTAAGTGATGCATCCCATCCGATGTACAAAATACATTCTTGTGTGGAACATGACTAGCTAGATATATATATATATATATATCTATGGTTTCAAGGTGGCAATAAAGAACATATGCTATATTCCAATCTCAGAGATTTGGAATCCTCAAATAAATGGTAGGTTTAAGATCTTGAGATTATGTCTACAATATCATTAATGGATTTGGCATCCTCAATAAAGAGTATCATGTAGTCTTTTTAACTTAATGATGTATAAACATTCAGGAATCTAATTTTTCCTCCATTGTTGTTGAGCTTTATATATCCTTCACAAGCTCTCTCTCTCTATCGGTTCGCATTTCCTTCCAATGCTTCCATGCGCCCCCTGGCGATTTGTTGAAGCGGAGCTGGTGGCTGCGGTTTCCGGCTTGCTTGGCGGAGCTCTCTAGCAATGGGAGACCGACGAAGGTGGGCTGCCGTCGTGTGCGCTTCCGTTTCAGCTTCAAGTTCGACAAGCCCCGCTTTTGGCTTCTCAGGTTCAGCTCCCGTTCGATTCGGTTTTGGTGAGGCTGTTGCTCGATTTCTTCCGGTTGGTGGTTGAAGATGGCGTGAGTGGAATCCGGCGAAGGATTTGCTGGCGATGGTCATGAAGGTGGGGTGCTTCGTCACTTCGATTGGCAAGAGGCTGTGGACAATCTCTCCTGGTAATTGCTTCGACTCGAAAAAGTTCTCTTTTTTACTCTTTTTTTATTCAGTGTGTTGGCTTCTTAACGATGGCTTGGTGTGTGCCCTTTGAGTCATTGGCCTTATCTCGTTCTACTTCTGTAGCTTTTCCTATATGTGCTGCGCTTCCTTTTTCGCCATAGGAACCACTGCCATTGCCAATCTAGTTCGAATTGCCTTTGATGGATAATTTATTTACAGGCGCGATAGATTCTTATCGACTTCTCAACCAGGTTGTTGCCTTGGAAGATTTTTTCCATAACCTAGCCGACAGTCATCTACACCGACCGTAAGTGTACCCTACTCCTGTATGGCGATCTTGTTGCCCTTCTTCGTACACCAGTTAAAGTGTCCATGACCATAATTAACATGAATTGGAGGGGATGCCATTTATGCTAGATAGACTAGCTATTTCAGATGCGGAAATGCTCAATGCCCACTTGGAGTTCGCAGGTTTAGCCCCTACAGAATACCATCTAAATGTTCCTCAGGCATCTAAAAAGATCTTCTTAGATTTCTGAAGGTGACTCTCACAAATGTAATTTACTGCTGGATTCTCTTCTTTTACTGATTGAGCATTCTTTTACTGAATGAACGTGCCCTACAAGGAGAGATTTAGTGGATACTGAAATATAGACTATAGGCAGAAAATTTCTCACATTTTGTATTGCTTGAAGTTTTATTTATCTTCTTCTCACTACACAAGGGCATTTCGTCACATCATTTTGATTAATCAAGTTCGCTGGTGGGAGTTTAACTTTTGAATAGGATATATCTCGAGCTATGCTGCGTACTTGTATGACAATCTGGTCGAGAGGGACGGAGGGAGGAATTAGAGGAACTAAAGAGACTAGGAGGGTAAGGGGAGCTGCATCCAAGTAAGTTAAGATCCTATATGACTTTTGGTAATTTAAATTTGTAAGAGCTTAGGATTAGATGCCTAGCCTTTGGTAGTTCTTGCTGTCTATTCTCACTGGAAAAATTTAGAGAGGAGATTTTTTCTCCAGAAACATCTGAATGCTTTGCTCGTCATATTGTTTTCTAGATACGGAGAACGTTTTGAGTGCACTATAGTACTTGAGCCAATCCTTGAATGGTTTCTGTTAAGATCCTAAGTCGTAAATACTAATACACTTATAATCCTCGCCTGAAGTAAGCTTTCGTGCATCCACTCCACCTTGAGGTTCCATAGTTGAACAACAAGATTTGTCTTTTGATTCAGATATTGGATTGGAGCCTGCCAACAAGATATAGATGCCTCGCTTTAGATGACCTGCTAGCCCAAAGAAATCCCATATCAAGTGACCGATATCCCTATCAGTTGTTTTGTACAGTTATGATGTTTTGCCTCACTTCACAAATTTTGATTAACATTTTCTCGGTTAATGTGTGCTCTATCTTTCCTCTTCTTCTGTTAATTTAATGGGAACAAATTATTCATTCTTCTCTCTTTCTCTCTGTGTTCATTTTTGTTTATAATGAACTCAATTTCTTTGCACATTTCAATGTGTCTTCAATACTGGCTCTTTTTAATCATTCTGATCTACTCCAGGTAAATGTATAACATCATTATGCTGGCGTCGTAATGGCAAGATTATCTTGGGACTTGAAGACGATACGGTTTTACTGCATGATGTCGAAGTAAGTTTTCTATGTTGTTACTTGAACGTTACCCTCATCACTTCTCAACTAGAAATTCCTCCTGCAACAGTCTTTTATCATCAGAACGTGTTCTTCTCTAATCTCTCTTGGGAAAGATTCTGAATTGCTCAAAATCTGCATGATGCAATGCAAACTGCAAACTTGCTCGGCAAACATTCAGCTGCTAATGGAGATGGCAATCCATTTTTATTGGTCATGTCTGTCAATGTCAAGTTAACAATGGATTGCTAGATAGGTCAATCTGAGCAGGATAAGCTTAACAAAAATTTTATTAGAACACTCTATTCGAACATGACCCATTTGTTAAATAGTTCAACAAATTTCAAGAGATGAATAACCCGTTTAACTAATTAGATTGAATGGGTCATTCCCATCCTAACCCGACTGATACGGCATATGTACAATATGCATATCTTCATCAATGTCAAATAAGTTTGAAAAGAAACTAGTCGTAAGCTGACAAAATCCTAGGTTTACATGAAATTTTATATTTATATGGTATGATCAAATTGTAGTTTGTAACCACTATGCAAACAAAAGTCATGTATGATTTCTTATCTGAGAACTTACTGAACTAAATGTAAACAGGTCAAGATAGGTCAGTTTGTTAATCAAGTTGGCACTATTGTTTAGTTAGGTAGATCACATGAGTCAATTTGTGTATTGCGGTTTGAGCTTTGAACCCAGAACAATATTCGTTTATTTATTGTGTTAGTTAGGTAGCCACAATTTTGATACGACATGATAACCACTTAGGGTCACCTTTGGTTGTCACATGGAAATATGAGTCATTAATCAAAAAAATAAATCTATGGATTGTGGATCGTGAATTTCATCCAATGGAATCATAAAACTGTTATAATGATTGAGATTGGTATTCCATGACAGATGTAAATTAATTGTAAAGTATGGTGTTATTCTTATTGTTAGGTAATAATTAATGATAAAGATACTTCAAATTCGACTGATGTTATGATTACAAGACATGAGATATTGCTACAAATTATTTATCTTTTGTCAAATAAGTGCCCATTTGACTGCAAGGACACAAAGATCTTGTACATAGTATTGTAATTGGATTCCCATTCATAGAATTTAGTATAAGACGATCAAACCATCCACTAAGCCTGATGCAGCCGACTAAATAATGCAAGATGACTACCAAGTTTTTGGGGAAGATTGACTTTGAAACTCAAATAAGGATCAAGATTCTTCTTGAAGTTTAATCACTTAGGCTGCGTTTGGTCGTCCGGATTTCTAAACAGGATAGGACTGGATAGGATAGGATAAGAAATCCTGGGATTTCTTCATATCCTATCCACTATTTGGTGGACTACGGATTTAAAGTCAGATATTCATGGGTCCGGAGGAGTCGGTGAAGGAAAAAAAGCCGAGAATTTTTTTTGGTGAAAGCGCACAAGGTGTGGGGATGAAGATGACGGCGAGTGGAGCGTAGGGTTTCTAGAAAAATAGGCATTAGAAATCTTATCCGGGTCTATCCTACCCCCCCTCTTGGATTTTTTTATCCGGTCTATATCCGACCTTATCCTATCCTGGACTACCACCAAACATAGGATAGGATAAAACATATCCTATCCTGGCTTTTATCCGGTCGACCAAACGCAGCCTAAAATTATCAACTAGGATTTGAGTATTATTAGGATTTTATGAAGTTTTTTTTTTTTTTAAAGGTTGAGTGGTAGGATCTTACGTTACTCCAATTATGTTTCTTGTTTAGAGGTTTCCTATTTCAACTAGGAGAAGAACTTTTAGAGAGTCTACAAATATAGTTGTAATTTTTACTTTTCAAAGTTGATAATTTATTGAACTTGGCAAGTTCTTGCTTTGCAGATTGTGTGATGCAATTCCTCTTTGGTGTGATGTTTAAGAAACTCTAGGCGTGATGCCTAGGCAGTTTTGCGTGTGATGCGTAAAAATTCATTCTTTATGGTGGGACTCATTGTCCTCCATCAAAGCCATAAAATGTTTTTGACACTACATTGTTGATGCATGAGTTAAATTATGAATCAAGGAAATTGATACTCATATTTAATCGGTGAATCAGCAGTGAATTACTTTAATCACATATCATACAGAATGAATATACTCATTCAATAGATTTATATACTTTAGGACTTGAATCTGATCGATGTGCTCAATTGCATTCTTGTGTAGAACAAAAAAATTTCACCTCGCTACTAATGTTGTCATCAATGATTGAAACTATTTCAAATGACAACTACAAATTACAGGATAGTGTTTACTGGGGTCCGGCTCATTGTGAGAATCTATGGTCTAAGTGGATGGTGTCTTGTAGAAGCATTCATCTGTGACTTGCTCATTTTCATCAAGATTAATAGCTTCTTTTCGATTATTAGTAAAATATGTTCAGTTCAGTCAAATTAGGAAGGTAATAATTTAGGTGACTCTTAAAAGATAGATTGTATGTGCCTCAATTATGCTTGTGGGTGGAAAAGTTTGTAAATATCGGGTTATGTTTTTATTAAGCTATAGCTGCTTGGTCATGAGTAGAATGGCTGAGAACTTGGCTGAGGCTGCTGCAATTCTGTTTCTTTGACATTTCTACCAGTTTATTATTAATCGTCCACTTCATGGATTGCATTTTGCTGAGAGGAGAATATGTTTGTGCATAATGAATGTTCTCTTAGCAAAGTAGCTGTCTTTATGGAACTATGGATATGCGGTGTGCTGCTTTGGATATGCTGGCGCTTGCAGTAGTTATGCACACTGTGGTATAATCATTTCTAACATGGTATAAATATTAAGCAGAATGGAAAACTGTTAAGAAGCTTGAAGTCCCATATGGCAGCTGTGGTATGTCTCAACTGGGAGGAGGATGCCCAAGTGAATAGAGTTTTCATCTTTCAACTTAAAAGTTGATATGACTTGGTGATCTTTATTACCAATAGCGGATATCTTATGGCTCACACCTTTCATAATGCTTTGTTTGCAGTTAAGTAGTTATTTTAGTCTGGTTTTCTAAAATACTTCTTTTTCAAAATTAGAATCTTATTACACAGTCCAACAGCTTAGTATAGGTATATGGACGATTTTTTGAAAGCAGATGTTTGGTGTCATCTACTTGTTGATTTGTTTGGCTCCTTAGCTTTAATCTCATAGTTTTTTCATCTTTTTATTTTCCAACTGGAAAGTAATTATTCATTTGTTTTATAGAACGCTTCTGGTAACTCTTTGGCATTTGAAGATCGCACTACTCAATTCTTCCCTTCAGCTCCAAGAGTTCCTTGCATGCCTGGACTAGTACCCGGAGATGCTGGTTTGACTTACGATGGTCAAGATTCATTTGTAGAGCTCTCAAATTCTTCAAAGCACAATATCCTTTGCAGTGGAGATAAAGATGGGGTTTTGTGCTTCAGTATATTTGGTGTCTTTCTAATTGGAAATATTGTAAGGGTCATGTCTGTTCAAATCAAATATTTAGCAGTATGGTCTATCAGATTCAGTCGATGAGTCCTTTCCCTGTTCTTGCTTCTCATTCAGCAGTTTTTCTTAATAAATGGATTTGATGGCAGACTGGCAGTAAATAAGTATTGCCTGGAAAGTAATGGGCTGGTTGAGTAAACAACTATACTAGGTGAAGTTATGCTTGTAAAAGTTCTAGATGTTTATGCCATTTCCCAGGCTAGATTCACTTCTGTTGGTCATTTCAGAGATGACACCTCCAACTTCGATGCTAAACAATTATCTTAAGCTTTTGGTTGTTTGGCCTGAGTTTAGCTTGCCTTACATACTTTCTGCTCTACTCCAGACTATTGGGTTTCTGCTCTATTCTTGGAAGATTGAGAGAGCTTATGAAGATCTTCCCCTTTCCAGCAAGTTTAATTCAGGCCAAGGACATTGCAGATGCCTTGGTCTAGACTTCATAAGAAAATTTACTTGGAGGGCCACGATGTTTGTCAAACTTTCGTGCAATATGATGTCGTAAAGCCAAGTGTGAAAAAATGTACAACCTAAATACAAACTTAAAGCAACTTTTACAGAACTAAATAGCATGCATAAAATGAATTATCGAATATTATAAACTTAAAAACATGAAGTCATTGCATTGCCTTTTACTTACCAAACAATTATGTGTTGAGTTCGATAAGATAGTGATTTTTGTTTTCAGTTGTCAACTTTATTGCGTCAAACTAATGAAATGATCAACGATTGTATATATTGATAAGTATCGCAACAGTTAGAGTGGTAAACATGTATAGGCTAATATATTACATTCATGTTTGATGCCTTTTAGCTTAGATGCATTTTAGGCAAAGCGCTCTTTTTTCTTTTTTGTTTTACACTCAACAATTTCAAGTATTGACATTTTAGTTTACATTGTTGGTATATAAATAGCATTGATAATTATTTTGGCTTGCATTGTTACAAGTAGATCTCAGATTAAGCTTCTTTCTTTTGTAAAATGAAGTAATCAATGCATCGGATTTTTAACATTTCACTCAATTTTTAATACAAATCTTTTGACTGAAATTGATTCAATGTTTAAAGAGCATTGCTTTATTGAGTGACTAAATAAAAAAAAATGCATTCAATGGTATCAAAAATGGATGGACTCACTATTGAACATACAAATTGCTTCACATCTTGCACCAACCAAGTTGGATAACAATATTAATATGCTTAGATATATTTTAGTGGTAAGTGAAACCTATTTAGCATATTTATAAAGATAGCTACCCCTCGTTATTTAATAGTAATAGATCTATATTAAATGAATTGTTGGATGAGAATAATATGAATAATATGCTTATGTATATTTTGGGTGGTAAGTAAAACCCATTTAACATTTTTATTATCATAGCTACCCCTTGTTATTAAGAGGAACCGCATGCATTTATGTTTAAGTATTATATAAAGTTAAATTTAATCTAAATGAACAAAGACTCCATTCAATAATATAAATATCTGAATTAACCCATGTGACAAATTATAGGTGCTTAATGAAGATTGCAATCAATAAACTAAACCAAGCAAAATCATTTATCGGAAAAAAACTGAAAATTTTGATTTATTAATTTGGACTTGGGTTGATTAAGAAATTGTGAAATCATTAAATTTGATTAAATGATTAACTAGTAACTTCACAATTAAGTAGATAGGAGAGTGGTGGGCCTAGTCACTCATTCAAAATAAGAAATGAACACAAACTTGGTAGAGAAGAGCAAGCAAGGACTAGTGGGACCCAGTCACCGAGCACGAGGCAGAAAGAAAATTATATGCTATGTAATTACAAATCTAACCTTGGATGATTAAAACGAGTGAACCTCCGTGACCTTCTCTTCTGTTTTTTATACTGTCCTAATTCCTTAAAAATCCTCGAATTTTAGGTTCAGTCTCAATTTTATCCAATTTTTCATGTCTAAAAAACTCTCAATTTTAGACCCAATGTTAAACCGCCCCCAAAATTTAATGTGTAATCCCAAATCTGCTCTGAACAACAACAAGAATCTTGAGAATGATGTCAAAAGAGAGCAATTTCCACCTTGATAGGGGGCAATCTCGGCATTTAGAGATCGGATTTCACGGCCAAAAAAGACAAGAAAATCTGGGCATAAAAAAAGGCAAAGGATTCTCGGCCAAGTCGGGTGGAGAATTTTTTCAACATATAATTATTGCCAAAGAGAGCTCGAAAAAGAAAACGATGGAGCTTTTCTTCATGGCCAAGAAAGAGAAATAAAGAGAGAGTCAATGGTCGGCAAAAGAGAGAGAACTTTAATAAAGAAAAACTGAGAAGTGGTTGGCAAAAGAAAGGAAAGAAAAAGAAGAACAGAGGTGAAAAAGAAAAATGAAAAGACAGAGAGAAAGAGAAAGAGAGAGAATTGTCGGGGCACGCGTGAGGAGGCGACAGAGAGCAAAAAGAAGCAATTTCACCGTAACTTTGTTTAATCTACCCTCGAAGTATCTATATTTCCTCCAAGTTCACTTTTCCTTCTGCACTTTAATTTCCAAGAACTTTACTCCTCGCAGTTAAATTTCTCCATCATTTCATTTCAAAACCAAAAACAAAATCAAGTTCAGCACTGCTTTCAAGTTGAACAACTTTTGTTCAAGTTAGAACCAAAGTGAGAAAAACCATTTTATCTTTAAAGAAGAGGACGTGCAAAGGTGACCAGCTGTGGAAACTTTGCAAAAGTCACGATTAGTGACGGATTATTTTCACGGGCGACGTCCTAGGTACGCGTAAAGTCCTCTTTTTCTTTTCCTTTCCTTTTTTTTCTTCTTTCCATTTCTTCCTCTTCTTTACCCTTTCTTTTCCTTTCTCTCCTGATGCGTGCTCTCCCTCTTCCCTTTATATCTCTTCTTTTTCTTTTTCTTTTTTTAAAGCCCACTTTTTGACCGAGTCAAGAAGAAGGGCAAAATATTAGAGCAACCGCTAAACTAAACCAAGAAAAGACATTTTCCGGAAAAATTGTAAATTTTGATTTATTAATTTGGCTTTGGGTTGATTAAGAAATTGTGAAATAAATAAATAAATTTGACTAATTTAAATCAATAAGTTGACATCCAAAAATATTAATTGGTAACTTGACAATTAAGTAGAGAGAAGAGTGGTGGACTCAGCCAACTCATTCGAAATAAGAAATGGACAAAAACTTGGTAGAGAAAAGCGGTACCCTCAAGTTAAGCAAGGACTGGTAAGCTCCTCAACTTTCGCTTCCCTCTTTTTATATAGGCCTAACGTCCTAAAAACCCTCAAATTTTAAGTCAAGTTTTGATTCTATCCCAAACTTTTTTATCTAAAAAAACTCTCAACTTTGGATCATGTTCTAAATCTGCCCCCAATTGTTTTGTCTAAAAAAAATTTCAAATTTTATGTCCAGTCCCAATTCTACCTTTAACATTTTTTATCTAAAAAATCACTAACCAATCTCAAAGTAAGAGGGGTTAAACGATTGAAAAGCTGCTTTCACTTGTTTTGCAACATAAACGATTGCTGACAATACAACATCTCAGTAGTGAAATGAAGTTTATCGATTTGATGCGACGATATTTAACATGCTCAAAGTAAGAGGGCTAAATTCCTAAGTGGGATCAAGGGCTTAAAATTAATTCAACAAAATGCCTTTTCTGATGGAAAATAAATTATAGAAAAAAGGGAAGTTCAATGGTGCAGTAACCGTCCCGACGCTTTGCATGTATTTATCAATTATGACCACTTGTTCACGGATACCAATACAGCAATTGTTTTTTATTATTTGGTTTCATTTTTTTTTTCATTGCTTCTGCATCGAAACTTGCTCACATGTCTTCTTCTTCCAGGAAGGGATCCCCTTGGATTCTTCTGTGCATTGAAACTTCCACCACATGAAGCCAACGACCATAAACGCATGGTTAGTGGTCCGGTCAACCAATTACTTATCTAGCTTGGCAAGTTTGAATTATTGGCGCATGCCTTAAATCAAACCAATAAATATATATAATGAAGTAAAAGCAAAAGCGAAACGGCTTTTTGATTTATTTATGAGATTTGAAAGAGAAATTAAGGTAGAAACAGAGCAAAAAAGAAATTGTTTTCGTTATGCTCAAGTACAAAATGAATATATATACGATATGTTGATAATTTTTTATGATTCTCGACATGCGTTAATATTTAACAGTCTCAAAGTGAGAGGGGTTAAATTCCTTAGTGGGATCAAGAGCTTAAATATATTCAACAAAAATATATTTTTTGATGGAAAATAAATTAACAAAAGAAAAAGGAAAGTTCAACGGTGCAAGGAGTCGACTAAGTTCAAGGAAGACTCGTCCCGTCTCTCTCTCTCCACTTTTCATCTTCCCAACAAATCTACCGTTTTATTACACCTTCCTGGACAGGCATCGCCTTGGATTCTATCGTGCAATGAGATTTCCGCCACGTGAAGGTCACGTGGTTGACGAGCTTGACTTATGGAAAATTAATCTAAAAAAAGAAAAGGAAAGTTCAACAGTGCAATCGGTGGACTCATCGTACCCTCTTCACTGCCCTGACGCTTTGGATGTATTTTATCTGTTCTGAGCACTTATCTGGAAAATATTGGACCGGACGAATCTCTTTCTCTCTTTCTCTCTCTCTCTCCCCCCGATTTTCATCTTCCACTTGTCTAACGGAGACCAATACAGCAATTGTCTTTTATTTTTGGTTTTAATTTTTTATTTCATTGCTTCTGCATCGAAACTTACTCACCTGTTTTCCTCTTCGAGGGAGGGATCGCCTTGGATTCTCCTGTGCATTGAAACTTCCTCCGCATGAAGGCAGTGACACTAAATGCATGGTTAGAGGTCCAGGTCAATGAATTGCTAATTTATGTCTAGCTTGGCAAGTTTCAATTATTGGTGCGTGCCAACTTGTTCAATTAGATAAATTAAACCAATTAAGCATATATATTATAAATATATAATAAAGCTAAAGCAAAAGCAAAAAGGCATTTTGATTTATTTATGAGATTTGAGGGATAAATTAAGGCAGAACCAGAGCAAAAAAGAAATTCTTCTCAGTGTGCTTGGGTACAAATTGTGTATATACATATAT